ACCATGCTTATCGATCATCTAGCTCCATCCAAGGTTCATGTGGGGTTGATGCATATGTACTCCTAGTCCTTGACACCAGTTGTTTATGTGCTGATATGATCAATGCAATTCGAGGGTTTATTCGGAATATAGGACTTGTTTGTATCTTTCTAGCTATTAATAGCCCTCTGAAATCTTGTTATTTAGAAGTATTAAACGTAGATTACCGATAAAACTGATTTCATAACCCCTAGGCTATTTTGCGAGACGAATCTAATGATGTATATTAATCCATGATTAGTGGCTGCTTACTGTAACATCATTGTAGCAAATCATAGATTAATATACCTCGTTAGATTCGTCTCGCAAAATAGTCTAGAGGTTATGAAATGGGTTTTGTCAAAAATCTACGTTTAATAATCCCAAATAGCAAGATTCCGAAGGGCTATTAAATAGCCCTCCGGATCCAAGCAGGGCCATAGTAGTATGCACTAGTATTTCCTCTACGCTAAAAAAAATAACTTATCCTTATACAGCAAATTTTGTCTAGATTTCAAATTTATTATACTAGAAGGAGATTACATCCGTCCTAGCTAGATTGAGTTTTTTTTTTAACGTAGGAATTAGTATAGATTATAAAAACAATAGGAAAATCATAAAATAGGATAAAAACACGTAGGAAACACATGGACTCTTAAGGTAGAGTTGTAAAAACACGTGTTCAGACAGAATAAAATAAGAACATAGGAAATGAATAAAGATATTGGAGTGGATGTCAACTTTCCTTTGTTTATCTGTAGAAACCACATGAAAGGAACTTTTTTTCTTTTAGTTCTTCATGGGATCAAATCCCTTGAAACAAATGGTTCTACCGTCGTTGAATCCTTCATTTTTCTCAAATCCGAACGGGCCCTTTGATACTTCATACTAAAAGTGTGGTATTAGTATGAGTAGAGAGAGAGAGAGAGGGGAAGGCTGCTGCTAATATTGTCCGAAATGTTCACCCCGTGAGTGAAACGCAGGGCAGTGCTTACTGCTGGAGTGGGACTCGTGCCGTCCCTTTTGGAGTTGCCCGCCTTATCACCCAACTGATCGTGCTTTCCTGTTCAGTTTGAGGAGTAACATGCGGAGGAACTCACAGTAAATGGCACTCTTTTTATATACTCTCTCAGTTCCAAAATATAAATATTTTTAAACTTCGACGCAGTTTTTGAGATGCTACTTAATCAACAATATTTATAATGTAAAATATTTTAAATAAAAAGAGTTGCATATTATGATAGTTTGTTTAATGATAAATCTAGTAATATTAATTTTACGTAATTAACTTTTTTATTTTTTTTACTAGTAATAGTTAAAGGTAAAAATATTTGACTTACCACTATGCTAAAAATGCTTGTATTTTAAGATGGAGGGAGTAATGTTTATTGGTTTATTTGCCCACAAGATGAACAGTTGAACGCGCACTCATCATTTCTTCGTGGAATATTTTGTCACTATGAATTACTATTTGATAAATATCATTTGGTTTTAAACTGCTCCTTAATTAATTTCACAAACACTGGTACCAATGTGATATCATGTCGTGATAGCAAAACCAGGTGTTTCACGGGGAGCCAAAAGTGAGATGAGTGTGACATGTTGTAGGGTTCTCCTTGACTTCCTTTCTTTCCACCTGCTGGCGTAATATAGTACTCTTTGAATTATACATAAGCTAAAATTTAAATTTTAAGTTTAATTTTAAAGTTAATTTTAAGCTATTTTCAATGTAATTTTTTATGTTAACTTTTAAATTACTACGAACAAACATATAAAAGTCTTACCTACAAACTAAATTTTATTTTCTAATAAATTGTTTTAACTGATTACTACGTACTTCCTGTATACTTCATTCTTCAAAAAAAAAAAACTCAACCTAATACTTGTATACTAGGACATAATCTACTACGTACAGTGAATCTGGAGAGGCTGCCTCCCTCTATCCCATCCAAATACAAGAAGAATCTTAAAACTTTTTTTACCAAACGTAACACCCAGAGCACGCAGTAAAGTGCGGGTAACTACCGCCTGGGGGAGGAGAAGGTCAGGTCAGACAGGGCGATTTTTCTTTTTTCTTTTTAACCTCTGGGGTGAGGTCGCTGAGTCAGATGACGCAACACCAGCCATTGGGCTCTGCGTGCAGGTCGTCAGTCAGCTACACTGGCTATGCATTGCATTGCATGAGAGGGCGTGTGAGATGGCAACAGCAACAGCATGTGTCTGCAGTGACTGCGTGCAGCGTGCGGGGGCACAGGCTGTATGTAGCCTGGCTGTAAAAATAAAAAAAAAAAGTTGTTGTTTTGGTGTGTAGCGGAGCGGCGGTGTGGCTAGCGGTGAAAAAACCGAGCGCGTACGACAAAAAGAGGTGAAAATCTCTCTCTCCCCAAGCGTGTTGGCGCTGAGTTGGAGTTGGCGGTTGGTTTGGGGGTTGGGGTTGGGCCGTGTTGGGTTGGTTTTGCGGCGCGGGACGGGTATGCCGTAGTATGCGTTATGCCGTGCCGTCCCTCTTGACAGGCCTTGTGGTTAGCCCCGGACCCTGCCAAATTCACGGTGCAAACCCAATTACCAGTGTAATATGGTTTCTCCCATTTGGAAACTAGTTTACCCTCCACGTGTTGTGGAATTTTATACATTGAATTAGACCGCTAGGACATACACTCACCGTTCAAAAAAACCAAAAAAAAAACAACATAAGGTTCATTGGACTTTGTATATTTATTGTTCTAAGATATGTCACATTTTATCATAGGTTATTTTTTTTAACGGATGGGGTAGCATTTTCTACTCTAGTCCTCATGTTTTTTTTTCTAAGTTTGTATAAAAAAGTAGACATTTTTTACTAAATGCCCAAAAAATTCAGAAATATATATAAAATTCCCCCCTTCTCCCTTCTATGGTACAAAGATCCCCAGATGTGTAGGCCTTTCCCTTTCTATGTGGCATCGACTCTGCACGACAAGGTCTGTAGTATATGGATAAGGAATGAGCTCCATGGCGGCATGGGGAATATGTAGCCGACGATGGTGGGCCTCACAACAACGTCTATGATAACATGCCCTTCTTCTCCCCTCTAATGTGATCATTATCACTTTCCCAATCGTGTTGGTCACGTTGCCGCTTTCTTTTCAATTTGGTTGATGCCACTTAGACTCATGGGATGGGGTAGGAGGAGGACAAGGAATTAAATATGTTTTGGGGACGCAATTTTAACAATGTGTGTATGTGTCATTCGGTCGAGCACAGATTTCACGTCACGTACGTGTAAGCCGTAGCCTAGCAAGGAACGTAGAGAAAATAAGGGACACCCATTCTTGGGCGAAACGAGGTTGTGCAACATGGGAGAGAGGAGTCCGACCTCAATGTGAAGGTCCTATCCTCGACATTAGTTGCTTTCCATTCATGCCAACTTATTCTGTGGACTCTACTTATGGTTAGATTGCACAATGAGACTTGTGTCCTTCTATGGCCTTGGGTCTAACTGACAAGTGAGGCCCAACAAATATCGAGCCTTCATTGGTACTACCCTCTCCCTCGTATTTCGTGTGCACGCTTTTCAAATTGCTAAACGGTGTTTTTTTTTTTAAAAAAAGTTTCTATACGAAAGTTACTTAAAAAATCATATTATTGATCTATTTTTGAAAAAAACAAATATTTAATAATTCACGCACTAATGAACCGCTCCGTTTTCCGTGTATACTGTGTGGGTTGGTATCACGTACTTCCGAACACAGCCTAACACAGCTGCCATCCATGTCCTGGCTACTGAGCAAGAGTTGCCTCAGCCCTGTTGAAACTTGAAAGGCAACCATGCTCTCTTCAAAGCAATGAAAAAGTCTCATGGGGACATGGATGTAGCCGAGCTACAGGCAAAGCTTCGACATGGCGAGTCCGAGCTAAGCTACTCATCACTTCAAAGTAATGTGAATGCTTTAACAGTTTTGCTCCGTTTGAAAATGCAGTTGTCTCTATGAAATTAAGTCTAATGGTTAAATATAACTTTTAGGGGTGTTTTGCTTCTGCACCTTACCTTTTTTTTTCAGTGCCAAAATATTAGCCAATTTTGGCCCTACTACTTTTGCGGTAGGGTATAAGTTATATTGACCATGATTAGCTTATTAATGTAAAGTTAAAGTAATTGTTAATCCTTATCCTGGTCAAGTAACTGCAACAAGATAAAAATGAAATCGATGTGGCCCAATTTATACGATCTTAAAGAATGTAACTCCAGTTTATCTCTGGAGATTTTCTCTCTCAAAAAAAAGTTTATCTCTGGAGAGAGCCAGCGAGGAAAAAAATTGATGAATTGCAGGCAAGACTCTATAAGGAGGATCCATTTCGCGATAACTTTGGGTGTTTACCACCATCAACAACTCTGATTAGAATGGAATTAACGTTCTTCTTTTCTTTTTCCCAGTTGTATTTTGTATTTCCATGTGTCGTATGGAGGCTACATATATAGCACATCTGTACAAACAAGCCACGCCGTCTCCTGTTGGAATTCTTCTCTGTACTCGTGACCGACGAGTTCTTCGACACAGAATCTGCTGTTGTTTTAGTACTCCAAAAATCTATCCTGCCCACAAGCTCATCAGATCATGCAGTCCCTGAACTTGAAAATTGCCGTGTTGACAACCATTGTTAAACCCTGAACATGACATATCAACCCAGACATAAATACTCTTCGAGCGTGCAGCCATAATTTTGTTTTATTTTTTTTTGACAACCTGCCTATACGAATCAGGCTTTATTAATTTTATCTTTTTTCCCCTATGTGTGGTGGTGGTCCCAATTCTTTAATGTGCAGGTGTCCAAGTATAGAAAGTTACTGAGCTTTTATGGTAGGTGTGGTAAAAAGTTGCATGGTAAAAACGATCCACTAAATTAAACTTTGTCACCAAAACTGAAGAAAAAAAAACTGAAGAGAAAATCTCTGCAACTGGTTCACCCTCTTTTTAAAGAACTCCACTCCAAAACCAACGAGCAAAGCGAAAGGAGGAGACGGCCAACCAAAACCCTCCTCCTCTCATCATCGCCCAAAACCCCCCAAGAAACCAGAAAGAAACCTCTCCTGCTCCTCTCTCTCTCTTTTCACCGGCAGAGGGAGAGGAAGTGGAGAGACAGAGAGGAAGAAGCAGAGGGAAGAAAAGAAAAGGAAGGAGTTTGCTGCAGCTGTGAGGAGTAGAGGAGGGGGGAAGGGTATAAAGGTTTTTGATTGGAATGCAGCAGCAACACCTGATGCAGATGAACCAGGGCATGATGGGGGGATATGCTTCCCCTACCACCGTCACCACTGATCTCATTCAGCAGGTCATGATCCCCTCTCCCCAAAATCTCTCCCATTTTATCGTCTGTTTGTCTCTCTCTTGTTTTTCATTTCTTGCTTTTTGTTTTTGGTTCCGTGATCTCTCTTCTTTCCTTTCTTTTTTTTTCTCTTGAATCATTTGTATCAAACTCTTTTTTTCTTCGTTCTTGATTCGTTGGTTGGTCTGTGAGTATCTGAAAAAGAAGTTTTATCTTTTCTTGTGTTCCCCTTTTCTATTTCATTATGCGTTTATGCTCATGCTATCTTTCTTGTTTGCTCGTGGTTGTTGATCCTCTTTTGTATCCATTGAAACATCTGGCAAAAAAAAATCTGAAATGAACTAAAGTTTCCCTTCTTTTTTTTTTCTCTGTTCTTACATCTTGTTCATCTGATCTATTTCGCTTTCTCCGTTAATTCCCAACATGATTTGTCGAACAACACGTTTTTTCCATCATATTTAAAAAATAGTTCTAGGGCAGCCTTTTTTTTCTTTATTTTGTTTGGTCAAATAGAAAGGGCATGATCCTCTTATATTCATGATGTTGATTTATCTTCTCGTCCTCTAGTCTTCTCCCTGTATTCTCATGTCTTCAAACATGGTCCCTCACATCTGATTTCCTCTGCAGTTCAAACTGTTGCTGTCCATTTGGTCCTTTTTTTTTCTTTTCTTTTGCTCTTGCTGCTCACATAGTCACATGATGCGGTGATTTTTTACATATCCTTTATCCCCCTCTCCATCTAAATCCTATTTTTAGCTTGTTTTGGTTGGTGACTTGTGCCAATGGTCGTGTCTCCCCCACCACTCGTATTTGGCAACTAGTAAACATGCCAGACCTGTTCCCTGCATCTGCCATTGCAGACCACCAATAAATCTTGGCCCCCTTTCCATGTAAATGTATCATGTGCAATCGTCCAACAAAAGGGAGCAAGAAATGCTGTGAGATTTACATAAATATCTCCTTTCCATATCCGAAATCCAATTTGCAATCTTTGATTTAAAAAATATTTCTTTTTTCTTCAGAAGGACATACCATACAAGATCTGGTCCTTGTTCATGTTGGTGAGAAACTGGGAATGTAGGTTGGCTTGTGCTGTACTAGAATGCCACAGGTTGCAGTTTTGACTGTTAGACCCCTAAAAGATGTGAGCTTTATGGCTAAAGGCCGATATAACAACCAGGGGCCCGGTCTGCTTGGCCTATTCTTTGATAACCTGCTTGCATGCTATCGTGCCAGTTCATGATTGGTCCTCAGTTTGAGATGATAGGCTGGCAATCAGATCTTGTGTGGTTCTGCTCTAGAATCAGGACGCCAATCTCCAGTCTAGTACTTCATTGGTGCTAGGAGTATATTCATGCATATGTCATTGGTGATAAACTGATAGTACCAACCAAATCTTGTGCAATGAACTGCAATATATTCAAGGCATGCATGCAGTACTATCTTTTGTTAGTATTGATGATAAAGACTTTGAAATGTAATGACGTATTAACATGCAAAGATTCAACCTTGAAACTGTGCAGTATCTGGATGAGAACAAGCAGCTGATCCTGGCCATCCTTGACAACCAGAACAATGGGAAGGTGGAAGAGTGCGCTCGGTGAGTTTGATCTTGATCTCCCTGTTATCATGGAGTGCTGTGAAAACTCTGAAGTTGCTGTTCTTTCTGTAGCTTTTGCTCTATCAGAGATGTCTTGTTTGGTAATATAGTCTTTAGGCTTTGTTAACTGCAAAAGGAATGTCTAGCTTTTGTTCAGTCAGGGTTCAAGAAACTAGAATCTACTAGGAGTATTCTGGATAAATCAACTAATCAAGTAGTACAATGTTCTTTGGTGAAATATTCCATTAGGTGTTACAGGTGATTCCACAATGATGGTTGAATTAGTGTTAACTCATGGGCAGGTTAATACTATACCTAGCACCCTCCTGTTAAATAAATTATTAGTGAGTGGCTTGTACTAGAAAAGTACTGTTCCTTGTTCAGTGCACTATTTCTGTTGTGTGTATTGTCAATGTCACAGAACAGTTTGCTGCCATCCTCCACAGTATCTTTTCCAGCCACCGCACAGAAGCAAACTCGATCCAAAGCCTCCTCATTTTTCAATCATCATCATGTCACGTAGTAGTAGTAATACGAGTTGCATGCATGTTCATGTGCATACGCTCTCCTGTTGTTCACTGCTGCTGCTATCTTTCTTGGATTGTACCGGGAAGGGAACACATCAGTTTGGAGCTTTGCATCGACTGAGCAATCCACCCACGTTTTCGCTTGCGGCGCGGCGTTTTGCATTTGCCCTACAGGCAGCTCACAAGCTGACCATCCTCGCGTGTCTGTCGCTGCAGGAACCAAGCTAAGCTCCAGCACAATCTCATGTACCTCGCCGCCATCGCCGACAGCCAGCCGCCGCAGACGGCCGCCATGTCCCAGGTAATTGTGCTGCTGGCGATGATCAGTGAGTCGTGTTTGTTGGTGTTTGATTTGAGGATGAGTGAAGTCATCAATGGCGGCTGCATTGTGCATGGATGCAGTATCCGTCGAACCTGATGATGCAGTCCGGGGCGAGGTACATGCCGCAGCAGTCGGCGCAGATGATGGCGCCGCAGTCGCTGATGGCGGCGAGGTCTTCGATGATGTACGCGCAGCCGGCGCTGTCGCCGCTCCAGCAGCAGCAGCAGCAGCAGGCGGCGGCGGCGCACGGGCAGCTGGGCATGGGCTCGGGGGGCACCACCAGCGGGTTCAGCATCCTCCACGGCGAGGCCAGCATGGGCGGCGGCGGCGGCGGCGGTGGCGCCGGTAACAGCATGATGAACGCCGGCGTGTTCTCCGACTTCGGACGCGGCGGCGGCGGCGGCGGCAAGGAGGGGTCCACCTCGCTGTCCGTCGACGTCCGGGGCGCCAACTCCGGCGCCCAGAGCGGCGACGGGGAGTACCTCAAGGGCACCGAGGAGGAAGGCAGCTAGGTGGTTTAACTTAGCTATAGCTAAGCTAGGCAGCTAGGTAGCCCATGAGGAGGGTAGCACCGTGGTAGTAGCAGTAGTAGCTAGGAGACGGCGGCAATGGCGGTGACGGTGACGGCGATGTCGGTGGCGGTGGTGGCTAAGGTTTAGGTTTGGTAGGTCGATCCATGGAACCTGTGTGGTGGTGGTGGCCTGATGCATGTTGCATTTGGTATCATGCAGAAGTCTCACTTGTTTTGGAAAACGGATTGGCAGGTTCGTCTAATTAAGATGTGTTATTAGTAAGGGAATATATGTGTGTGTTGCTGCACTGCAATGGATGGGTTGGTTGGTTTGCGAAATCTCCCCGTGCTGCTGAATGCGATCTCTTTGGGGACATCCGATGTTGTGCTGAATCAACTGATCTATACAGCAGTGCTTTTGCTGCGTTGCCTTGCATCAACTGAGCTCTTGCATTGCATTAACTGATCTATACACATTAGTACTCGGTACTAGGTGAGTTGCAACATTTAGCTGTGTGCCGTGAGCGAGATGGAGCGAGCGAGGCAATGGCTCCGAAGTGAGTGAGTCAAGAGAGAACGACGTACGTGTAGTGTTTGATGGCAAGGGCAAAAGAAGACTAGACGAGGGGAGTAGTTCATCTGGGCCATCTGGCGACAGGACACAGGTTAAGATGGCTGGGCGGAGGACTCGTCGGAGTGGAGGAAGAGGAGAGGGGTTGAAACAGAGATAGTGGTGCCGCGTGGGTCGGGTTGGGTTCAAGCGAAGCAAGAACATGCATGACCACCTGCCCGTGCCCAATACTTCCAGAGCCCCACTACGGTGCTCTCTACTCTCGACAATAGCCTCTGCTGCATGGATCACTGGCGGTGACGACGGGAGGAGAACGACGTCAACGGCGGCGGCGACGGGAGGATGACGCCAACGACGGCGGCGATGGCTGGAGGATGAGGACGATGGTGGTGGCGACGGGAGGTCGAGGACAACGACGGCGACAGCGACGAGAGGATTTTAATTAGGGTCAGGGTTTCAGTGTAGTTTTCAATTTTCTGAAATTTTATTTTTTTTCGTGATTTTTTTCTTTTTCGCATGTGGTCCGCTTAAGCGCCCGGATTTTCACATGCGCTGGCCGCATGAAAAAAAAAATCCTATTTTTACTGACCTTTGGATGCATGCGGGTCATCCTTCTGCATGCAAAAATTGATTTCGGTCGAATGAAAAATTCTAATATGTAGTAGTGCATTGCATGTGTGATGGATATGTGGGCCCGGGCCTCACATTCATTGTTACAAACGATAGTATTTTCTAACTCATGCATGTATCCTCTAAATTTGAAAAGAAAATAGGAGTAGGAAAATAACATCACTACTATCCACTGTATAAATAATTTCAGAAGTATGTGATAAAAATGAGAGGAGAATATTTTACTAAAAAAAAGAAGAGATCAATTGTTAGAATAATACAAAATGCCCCATATATTTTGGAAGGCATAATTGCTTTATTTATGGTGGCCGCAATCTTTCATATGCAATACCTTGCTCTAGCATCAATGGTGGAGTCACCGCCCAGCTAGCCCGGACGGCCACCGGGGATCACTGGCGAGAACACCATTAAATTTTAATATTGATAAGTAAATTGATGATGAAATTTCTATAGTAAATACTAGTTATACTGAAGTTTGCTCGGGCTAAAATTTTTTTCTTACTATCATTGTCCGGCATCATGGATTCGAAAATACATTTTGAGAGTTTAGTGACATAGATGATACACCTGCACAAATTTAGATATCGCTCGTGCCCTCCGCTGCGGAAGAAGGCCATCAAATGGTGGATGGGGCATCCAATGGTTCATGGCAGTTGACCGAATAAAAATCAGTCCATTGATGCAGCATAGTCGTTCATCAGGAAGATGAAATCTCTGGTAGTATCAAGAAAAAACGATGTTTCATCAAAAAGGGAAAAAAAAAAGGTTTGCACCGTCGGTTTGACAGTCCAGCAAAATCATGTATCATTGCAGGCCTCACATATGCAAATGCAATCGATAATCGCTGCGACATTTGGTTACGCGGCTGCGCTCGTGCTGCCCAAACAAAAAGCCCAATCCGCCAAATGGGTTTTTGGGCGTGATAACGGGAGGAGAGGCAGTCGTTCGTCACGAACGCGGCAGATCCAACGAGCCGAAGACGAAAACAAACGGGGCGCCGCGCCGGCATGTCGTGTGTGGGCCGCACGCCCGTGCCGGCCGCACCGGTAGTCGTCGAGTCCACAAGCGCCGAAGAAAACGAAAAGGAAAAAAAACGAGCCCTCCTCGGGTAATTGTCAGCAGCAGCAAACCAAAACAAAAGCAAAAACTAAAACAAATCGTCCTCCTCCGCTGGCCCACCCACACCCCCCTATCGATTCGCCCACACGCCGCGGATTCGGCAGCCCACCCGATCCACCGGAAAACCCGCACCCAAACGAGGCAAATTTTCTTCCCCCCATCTCGTCCTCCTCTCCCCTGCACCTACTACCAGATCTGCTTCGCCGCTCGCCCCGGCCTTGGAGCTTCTTGGGCCGAGCCCTAGCGAGCGAGCCCCGCCCGCGCGCGGATCTGCCACCACCATCCCTCTCCTCCTCCTCCTCCTCCTCCTCCTCCTCGTGTAAGCTCCTCTCTCCATCTCTTCTCTTCTTCCTGCCTCGCGAGGTCTCGTGGTCGGGGGGTGGGGGGTTTGAATTCCGTTTCCAGATCTGCGCGTGCTTGGAGCTTTTCGTGCGGTTCTTCTTCTTTTTTTTGATCGGGATTTGGGAGGGAGGCCCGTTATCCAGGCCCAATTTGTCACCGATTTCTCCTCGCGAATCCACTGCTGCTTGCTGCTGTGCTGGCTACATTGTTGTTGTTGTTGGGTTAGGGATTCTTTGTCGGGGGGAAGCGCGGCCTGCCTGGAAATCGTCGGAGCTCGCTGAGATGTCGAGTTTTTGCGCATGAATTTCACCGTAGGGGGGGGGGGGGGATGGGAGATCCGGAGAGAGGGCAACTTTTGATTCGTTCGTTTTGGGGGAGATATGTGATGTTGGACTTGGTGCGCTTAGATAATTGAATCTGAATATGTGCTTTGTGTAGTCGTGCGGAGAAATTTATCTTTCTTTGTCCAAAGAAAGCTCTACCACTAGCTACCTCTTCAGATAGGTTCTTGCAACTTTATAGTACTAGCTTAGCATCTTAAACTAGCCTCTTGCCGCTGTTTAGCTAACTAGGTGAGCTTGATTTTCAAGTCCTGTGTAACTGTGTCCCGCCAACTCAAGCAATACATAGGTTGTTAATTACTTCCTTCTCACCGATTATTTTGAGTTCGTGCCTACGAAGAACAAGAATGGGTTGGCTTGCATTGCATGAGGATAATAAGGAAGATATGACTCTTAAACTTATCTGGAGTTGCTGAAATCACTCCTAGTAGGGAGTAAAGTTACCAACTAAGTTTGCACGAGTCATTCTGGTCCAATTAAATTTGCATGTGATACCCCTTCTTTTCTTGAAATTTGTCGGGAAAACAACGTAGCACATGGTTCTGCTCATGAAGTTTGCACTTTCGGTGGCAAATAAAATTTAATTTAAATTGTGTACTTTAAGCATTTTTACTGAGGAGTGAGAAGATATGTTCCCCATTCTAAGTTTCCATAATATTCCTGGATGACATTTATAGTTTTGTTATTTCATCTGTGCCCCAGTTACTATAACCTGGTTTGCTAATTTGTTATCAAGAAATCATGTTGTCTTTCTTTTATCTTCCTGTTTTGTTAAATAGGCCACTGTAGTGATACTGGTTTGTTATTGTCCGTGTATAAGTCACTTTCGAGTTTTTTTTTTGGCCAAATGATTGTTATACTGACTTCTGCTGTTACCATGTTACTATTTGACAGATTTTGTGAGTTCTAGCTACTAGCCAAGAAGCATGACTGAGGAAACTGGCAACGACTTCCAGATGGTTCAAGGTTATGAGATTGTCCCAAGCAATGAGGAAGCTCATGCTGAGGAAGTTCAGGGTGATGAATTGGTCCTTGCGGAGGACTTAGCTCAAGGTGACGAGGTCCAAGTAAATGGATTGGTCAGTGCTGAGATGAGTACCCCTCCAACATCAAGGCGCCGTAGGAAGAAGTCTCTAGTGTGGGAGCACTTCACTATTGAAGCTGTCTCTGGAGGGGCTACACGGGCGTGCTGCAAACTGTGTAAGCAAACTTTTGCTTACAGCTCTGGTTCAAAAATTGCGGGTACTAGCCATCTCAAGAGGCACATTACCTTGGGTTCATGTCCTATAATTAAGAACCAAGAGCACAAGCTAGCACTGACTCCAGCTGTAGGGACTGACAATGATGGCGAGGGCACTGTGGAGCGCCCGTCTAAGAGGCGTTACAGATATACTGGTTATGCAAATGCTGCTTTTGATCAAGACCGCAGTTGTTCATATCTGGCGAAGATGATCATTTTGCATGACTATCCACTTCACATTGTTCAACAGCCAGCCTTCACTACCTTTATTGACAGTCTGCAGCCACGTTTCAGGGTTGTAGATGTTGAGACAATGGAGGGGGAGGTGTATGCTGTTTACCAGAAAGAAAAGGAAAACCTCATGCAAGCATTCAGCACTATGCCTGGAAGGATTAGCCTCACTATTGGATTGTGGACAACTAGCCAAACTCTTGGCTATGTTTCACTTGCTGGGCAGTTTATTGACTCTGAGTGGAAGATACATCGAAGAATGCTAAACTTCATGATGGTGTCTTCTCCTCATTCAGAGAATGCACTTAGTGAAGCTATTAGTACAAGCCTTTCAGACTGGAATATGAAGGACAAACTATTCACCATCACATTGGACAATGATTGCTCATCACATGATATATATAGTGCGAATCTGAGGGATTATCTCTCCAACAAGAACAACCTCATGCTCAAGGGCCAACTGTTTGTTGTAAGGTGTTATGCCCATATCCTGAATGCAGTTGCTCAGGATGTTATTGCTTCAATTCATGGTGTCATCTATAATATCCGTGAAAGCATTAAGTTCATAAAAGCTTCTCCTAGCCGTGAGGAGAAGTTTGCAGAGATTGCTCTGCAGCTAGAGATCCCAAGTACCAAGACCCTTTGTCTGGATGTTACGACACAGTGGAACACTACCTATCTCATGCTGCTGGCTGCCTTGGATTATAAGCAGGCCTTTTCTACTCTTGAGACAAGTGATGATAACTACAATGAGGCACCGTCCGCTGAGGACTGGAAAAAAGTTGAGGCTGCCTGCAATTACTTGAAGCTATTGTATGACTCAGCACATAGCATCATGGCTGCAGCAAATCCAACTTCAAATCTCTTTTTCCATGAGGCATGGAAACTTCAGCTCGAGCTGTCAAATGCCACAGGGCATGAAGACCCTGTTTTCAGCAGCATTGCCAAGGATATGCACGAGAGGTTTGACAAGTACTGGAAAGATTGCAACCTTGTGTTAGCTATTGCTGTTGTGATGGATCCGCGCTTCAAGATGAAGCTTGTTGAGTTCAGCTACTCGAAAATTTATGGTGTTGAAGCTGCAAAGTATGTTAAGGTGGTGGATGATGCTGTTCATGAGCTTTACAAGGAGTATGTTGCACAACCCCTCCCCTTGACGCCGGCTTATGTTGAGCAAGGGGACGGTAATAATGCACCTGCTAGCGAGAATGGTACTCAAGCAACTGCTCCTTCGACCGGCGATGGACTTGTGGACTTTGATATGTACCTTTCTGAGATAGCTACAAGCCAGCCAACAAAATCTGAACTGGAACAGTACCTGGATGAGTCCCTCACTCCGCGCATCCAGGAATTTGACATTCTGAACTGGTGGAAGCTCAACACTCTCAAGTTCCCTACTCTCTCAAGGATGGCCCGGGATATCTTGGCCATTCCGATGTCGATGGTGAGCAGCGGCAACTCTATTTTCTCTGCTGGAACAGGAACTCGCATGCTTGATGACTACAGAAGCTCATTGCGTCCAGAAATTGTGGAGGCGCTCGTCTGCGCCAAAGACTGGCTTCAGTATTTACCAGCTACCCCGGAGGCGCCGAGTACCACGCTTGTCAAGGTGGATGCACCATAGGCTCGCCGTGATCCCCCCCCCTCCCCCCCTTCCTCTTGTGAAGCAACAGCATCCTATCCGTATTTTAGGCAGGGACTATGAACTGATTGAGATCCGAGCTTATCTTCCTAGGGTGTAATGTGCTGTATCGTACTCTGTTAACTCCTTCATGTTATTATGTACGCTTTGTCTTGTAGTATGCCATCGGAGTTACCTGACATTACGTGTAGTGTGTGCGCTGGCTGCATAATGTGTATCAGTTGATGCCTTATGTCTGGACTTCCCTTCATTATCATCCATTGTAGCATGTGATTGTTCTGTGCCGTTGAGATATGTTCATTTGATTGTCAATCAATGCAACGTGTCAATTTTACTCGTGTGTTTGTCGTTGAGTAATGTGTTTGGGCTATGTAAGGATGCCACAGAACTTCTTGTTTGCGATTCTGTCCATTTTTTTTTAAATCTGAGCAGGATAAGAAACATTTTTTTTGTCTAAGCATCCTAGAAATTAAATTATAAGTATTAATAGGGTACGCCTAATGCGCGGGTGATCGCCCGCCCCTCCCCTATATGGTCGCTCCCTCCTCTCCCCCCTTCCTCCTTTTCTTTTTCTCTTCCTACTACATCATAAATATTTAAATTTAAATTTAGAATTGAAACGGTTATGTAAATTTTTGACTTATAAACTTTGGGTCTATAAACTAATATTTGAATTCAAATTCAAATTTGAATCGGGTATGTAAACTTTTGAGTTATAAACTTTGGGTCTATAAAACTTTAGGTGTATAAACTTTAGATGTATAGAAATACTATATATAAAAATATTTGAATTCAAATTCAAATTTGAATCGGATATAATTCAAATTTGAATTGGGTATGTAAACTTTTGACTTATAAACTTTGGGTCTATAAACTTTAGGTGTATAAACTTTAGATGAAACTAAATACTATATATAAAAAATATTTGAATTCAAATTCAAATTTGAATTGAATATATTTCAAATTCAAATTCAAATTCAAATTTGAATCGGGTATATAAACTTTTGATTTATAAACTTTGGGTCTATAAACTTTATGTGTATAAACTTTAGATGTATAGAAATACTATATATTTGAATTCAAATTTAAATTTGAATCGGATATATAAACTTTTGATTTATAAATTTTGGGTCTATAAACTTTAGGTGTATAAATTTACTAAAATAGGAAAGTAATGCGGTGCCAAAAAAAGAAAACGTGGAGGGAGGGAGGGGGGAGGGTGGGCGATTGCTACCCGATCATGGTAGCGATCAATCGCGCATTAGAGTTTCCGGTATTAATAAGCAGGTTGTTGTGGTCATGTAGCGTCCTGTTGTTTTCATGTGGACGCTGCCCTTTGCCGGTGCCTAACCTGGACGCCGAAACACAATAGCAGTCTTGCCCGAGCAACTGCACACACGCTGACACTCTAGAAAGATAAAGAAACGGATCTGCGCGCTGAGTTCTCGTACCCTATTGCTGTCTTTCTTTATTATCCTACAGTTAATATTCCTAATTTTCTTACTGGAGAACTAATGCCCTAATCTTACATTAGATGATCAGAATTCAAGCGTGGATCGCAGATTATTTGCTCTAAGGTATTTCTTTTGGCTGTTTGGAATTAATCGACATCAGTACCAATCAAGTAGCAGCTTAGATTTGTCTATTTATCCTGGAAAGGTTGCAGCGCTAGATCGAGAGTATGATTAAAAACTTTAGTGCATCAAATAATTATCATCATCACCGATGCACATGTACTCCTTTGCAACATGCTCTACAGCAGTAGTCCTTTGCATTGAGTATACATCACTTATGGTTGGCGTATGGTGGAGTTATATGTTGAGATCACGCCAATATACAGCGGATTCAGTCAAAACCACATTTCATGTATATATACTGAACAAATGTTTTATTCAGTCACCCTTATATATACTGCCGTTGCATGCTGTTTCTTGCATTTTGTTTGATTCGGCCTTAAAGGTTGGTTATTTCATATGACTGATTACGTGCAGTGTCTGTTGGTATGATGGTATCTTTGTTCTTTATCTAGCAAGAGTAGTTGTTGCAGCAGTAAACTGTACAAACAAAACCCATTGTCATTGGGATCATTGCTGATCAATCAAGTATAATCAACCATAGATAATTAAACCCCATCAGTCCGTACACTTGATCCTGTGCTCCTCTGCTCTCTGTCCAGACTCCAAAGCTGCGCTCCAGTGCATCTCACTTGGAAGTAACCAGCAACCTCACATGGATGCCATGCCATACAAGTTGATCTGGATCCTGAGATGAGACACAAAAACCAAGCAAATCGCATCTCGCCAAACAAACAAATCCCCCGAAACTCGCCAGATCCAACGGCCACTCCACGCTCCACTTGCGAGATCGCGAGGGATCCGACGGCTCACAGCGTCACAGGCGGCGGCAGCGCAAGTCGATCGCCATCGCTGCCGGCTCGCTCGCAGCTGAGGCTTCTTAACTCGCTAGAGACAATCGCGTTCACTTCTCACTTCTTCAGTGGCCATTACTCAGCTCACCTACTCCAGATCTCGCCATGGCGGCGGCGTCGTCTCGGTGGCAGCGGATGGCCGCGGCGTGCTTCGTCCTCGCCGCGCTTGCGATGTGGGCGGCGCCCGCGGCGTGCGGCGCGCGCGCGGTTCCTCGTGGGGCGGGGGCGGGGGTGGCGGCGCAGCAGGCGAACGCGTCGTCGTCGTCGTCGGCGGCGGCGGACGAGTTCCTGGCGCCGCACAACCAGGCGCGGGCGGCGGTCGGGGTGGCGCCGCTGCGGTGGAGCGGCGACCTGGCGGCGGCGGCGGCGAGGACGACGTCGCAGCAGCAGGGCGGGCAGGGGCGGCGGTGCGGGTTCGCGGACATGAGCGGGAGCCCCTACGGCGCGAACCAGGGGTGGGCGAGCTACCCGGCGCGCCCCGCGGAGGTGGTGGCGTCGTGGGTGGCGCAGGGGAGGTACTACGCCCACGCCAACAACAGCTGCGCGCCGGGGCAGCAGTGCGGCACCTACACCCAGGTGGTGTGGCGCCGCACGGCGGAGGTCGGCTGCGCCCAGGCCACCTGCACCACCGGCGCCACGCTCACCATCTGCCTCTACAACCCGCACGGCAACGTGCAGGGCCAGAGCCCCTACTGACCGGTCTCTTCGCCGCCGCCGTCGCCGTCGCCGTCGACGTCGCCGGAGCGTTGTTGTCGGTTTGCTTTTGTGCTTATTAAGCTTACTAATGTGACTGTGGTGTGTGATCTTGTCTGTGTACTCTTGTGTTATTACGCCTACGTGGTGTTTAGAGCTGCGTGCGTGCTTAAGATTTGGACTGAAAATGATGGATGTTGTGACGCGCGTGTCAGCACGTGCTGCTTGGAGTGTAGCTTGTGATATGGCTCTTGAATTCGAATGCTAGGTTTGTGTAGATCCACCCATGAGCCATGAGCCACAATCACGGGTGTATAAAGCTGTGCTGTGCTAAGCTACTCCCTCCGTCCCATAATGTCCCAACCTAGAATAGGATGAGACCCATGAGACCCATCCTAGGACTATGAATCTGCTCATCCCATCGTAGATGGTTACAATATTATGGAGGAACGGAGGGAGTATGCAAGAAGCATTAATGTTACGAGAGCAAAGGCTAAGGCTACCTTTTTATGAATCCTAATCCGTATCTGCAGTATATCTAAAAACAGAAAACCTAAACAACGGTCCGTTGAAACGGGATACCTTTCTATAAGACGGTACTTGATATCTGTTGTGGTACCAGTTGCATGGTATCCGATACCTGTGATACCTGTTATCCGGTACCTGTGATACTTAGAATCTGATACCTATGATACTCGTGCAAGAGAATAGATAATATGTCTATCCCGTTATAACGGGATCCCGTTTTGTAGCCGCCCTCATCTGAAAATTTGTCTATAAAGGAGAAATAAAGGAAAAAGTACACCCAAGGTCCCTCAACTTGTCATCGAGATACAAAATCGTCCTCAAACCGCAAAACCAGAAACCGGACGTCCCTCAACTAACAAAACCATTCGCTTTAGGTCCTTCGGTGGTTTTGACCCCGGTTTTAGCTTACGTGGCGGCTGAGTCAGCGTGAAACCCCATGTAGACCCCACATGTTAGCGTGCCACGTCAACTCTCTCTTTTATTGCAGCAGCAACAGCAAGCAGCACCTAATCTCGCCGGAAGAAAAACCAAAGCCGGAGGCGACGCGGGAGCCGTCGTGCTTCGGCGACAGCTCGGTCGGCATCGCCGTCGCCGCCGCTGGTGACTCTGGGCACGGCGGCACACTGGATCGCAAGCTGCAGGCGGCGACCACGGCGGTGTACAGTGCCTCGCTGCACTCCGGGAAGGAGCTCCTCATCCGGGTCACGTGGACGCGGAACGCTGCCGGAGCCACCGGCCTCGCCGTCGTCGAGGTGTGCCCACCATGTGCTGCACAAGAAGCGCGGGAGCAGATCCCTCACCACCGCCGCCGGCACGGCCGTGGGCATCCACTGGGACACCGCCGAGGCCACGTACGCGTCGGATTCGTCGTCCCCTGAGCCCACCGGCGAGGCGGCAACTACTACCTCGCCGTCATCGCTGACGCCGAGGTCGCGCTGCTCCTCGGCGAGGGGTGGCTTCTTCCTGCATGTGCAATGTGTTACTAACGAAACAGTTCAGCTTCTCTAATTCGAGTTGGTGATTTTATTACAGTGTAAATCATGGTGTACATGAAAGATACAAGTATGTCTCCAGCCTAACATTGTATGAACATGGGTACATGCATGCTGATGTGAGTGTTTTCTGGTTATCTGAATCGCAATCAAATGGCATAGATAGATACTGAACATGGTTACATGGAAAAATGATGCTTACATTGCCTCCAGATAGCTTCATTCAGATCAAGCAGAAACGCTTTGCATTCTCTGCAACGATGCTGTCAAGTAATGACTTGCATGCGTCTTCCAGCAGATCCAGCACCAGAAAAACATTGTGCAACGATAGCTGTCCCCACCCTCCCCGCCGCCTGTCTTCTCTTTCCCCACCGCCGCCGTCCTCTCGCGCGCCGGCCACCGCATGCCTTCTCTTTCCCCATCGCCGCCTGCACTACGACGCCCAGCCGATTGACTGGTTGGTGGGGATGGCGGCGAGGGACGGCGCGGCGCTGAAGCCGGTGCTGAGCGGGTTGTCGATGAAGCCGGTGCCGAGCGGCGAGCGACTCCGAGAGGCGCGCGCCACCGCCGAGCGCGCCCTCGCCGCCGCCGAGGCGGAGGGCGACGACCCCGCGGCGGTCGACGTCAACCTCATCCTCGCCTTCATCGCCGCCTGAGACGGGGACTTAAACGACGCGAGACGGCCTCGCCTCCGCCTCCGCGCCCAACGCCACGGCGCCCGCCCGCGCGGGGCCGCTTCGCCGACGGCGGCGACGCAGCGTCGCCGACGCCATTCGCGACTGGCCGCCGCCGCCGCCTCGCCCGGTGGCCTGCTCCTCAGCCGCCGGCTGGCTTGCCCAGAAGAGAGAGAGAGAGGGGAGAAGGGAAAGGAGGGGAAAGAGGGGGAGGCTTACGTGGGCACACTGACATGTAGAGCTCACCTAGGTCCCACGTTGACTCAACCGCCACGTAGGCCAAAACCGGGGTCAAAACCATCGAAGGTTTTGCGGTTGAGTTTCGGGATTTGTTTAAAATAGCTGGGACGTTTTTTAACTCGGTGACAAGTTGAGGGACCTTTGGTGTACTTTTTCCGAGAAATAAACGTAAGGAGGGAGGTAGTAGGGGCAAGCCGCAAGCTTCTATCACCAACGGCCCAGCTATTCTCCACCGGACCAGCCCCGCTTAAGGCCGAAGGCCCACAAGAGCGGCTTTCCTCGCGGCCCATCCGAGTGAAACGCGCAAGCCTCGGCGCGCCGATGCCGGCGTCGAGCTAAGTCCGCGGCGGCGTCTGCGTCGGCATGCAGCGTGATGACATCAACGGCAAGGCTACGGCTCACGGTAAATTTGGCCAGATAAGCACTGCTGCCTACACACACCTTCAGGAGTTCGTTACACCACTGCACCTGCATGCATGCACATCAACGCATCGTAATATAACAAACTCTTCAACGATTCGTCTCAGAGATGACGACGACGGCGACGACTCAAACCCTAATTAAACCCCTCCTAGCTTAATCACACACTCGTGATACAGCATTCTCTCCACTTACTCCATCCCGTACGTGATATGCCGCCGGCGGCGCCGGTCGAAGACGGCGGCGGCGGCGGCGGGGAGGAGAGGGCGACGGGGCGGAGCAGCTGCCACGTGGCGTGGCTGGCGTGGTGGCGCGAGCAGGTGCGGTGCCTCGTCGCCTCCACGCTCCTGCCGTGCGACGCCGACGTCCTCGGCCTCTCCTCCTCCCGCCGCCCGCCGCCGCCCACCGTAGTCCGCGGCACGCTCTTCCTCCCCTCCACCGGCGGCGACCGCCGCGTCCGCCTCTTCCTGCACGAGCACGACCCCTCGCCCTCGCCGGACGAGAACCACCAGGCGATCCTCGTCCTCGACCTGCCACCCGGCCTCTCCGGCGCCGACATCGCCGCCGCGGGGAGGGTAGTGCTCGAGTGCCAGAGGCAATGGAACAACGGCGGCGGCGCGCTCCTCGAGTCGGCCAAGTGGCTGGTGTACTGCAACGGGCGGCGCGTGGGGTTCGCGGCGAGGCGGGGGGAGGCGTCGGACGCGGAGGGGTGGGTGCTGGAGAAGCTGTGGGCCGTCACCGCCGGCGCCGGCCGGCTGCCCGGCGGCGCCGGGGTGGAGTACATGCGCGGGAGGTTCGAGAGGACCGTGGCGTCGTCGGATGCGGAGTCGTTCCACCTCGTTGACCCCATCGGATGGCTGGGATTCAACGGCAACGACGGCCTCAGCATCTTCTTCCACAGGATCTGATCGATCATGCACTTGTGTCGTTTGCATGATATCCATGCATCTGATGTACCGAGAGGTTGTCGATTAGCTCAATTAGTTGCTTTATTATTATTATTATTATTATTATTATTATTATTATTATTATTATTATTATTATTATTATTATTATTATTATTATTATTATTATTATTATTTGTTTGTTTGTGAGGGAAAAAAAACCAACCTAATATTGGTTAGATATACTTCAAGGGACGATTTATATATCATTTAAGCCACGTAGAAATTTTGTAAATTCTGAAACACCCGTTTGTTTTAAGACTCTTGTAGGGCAACCATATCCTTGAAACCTCCTCGTACCTTTCTCTCAACTCCTCTCATGCCACCGCCGTTTACTAGCGCGAACGCAATCCGCATGCGCCGCCGCCACCACCTGGCCTAGTTGGCTAACCGGAAGGTGCCAACGACGCAGGCGAGGCCCCCTCCCCCTCTCCTCCCTCCTCGAACCATCGGCAGCGAGATGCCCTTGTCTTGTCATCTTTCTCATCTCCGGCGGCACCTCATCGCTGGATTTGCCACCACCAGCCACACTCAAGTTTGTTGTGCCCCCCCTTTCGTTCACATCTAGTTGTCCAAAATCTGCAAGATTTGGGGATGGATTTTCATATAAGGTTTAGCAATTCCGTTACTTCAATTCGCACTCACAAAGCATGTTAATTGAGTACTATTTCTATCTCAAAATATAAACATTAGAAATACTATGTTTTAAAATGGAGTATATTTTTCCAGGAGATTACACATTTACCCTCGAAAAAAATATCACCGACGAGTAGGTACGTGTGTCCAATCACATGGGCTGTGTTTAGTTACTTGGCTAAATTTTTTTAAATATACGGATACACATTTGAAGTATTAAATATAGTCTAATAACAAAACAAATTACAGATTTGTTAACAGTGAAATTTGGTAAGCCCAAAGTTACCATCGGCTTAGAGTCAGTATCGGCTTCAAAGTTCTAGAATCGGCCGATGGGAGTCAAGTCGCCACGATGTCGTGTTCTTGGTGGAGTCGGATCAATCAAAGGAAGCTTATCTAAAAGAGTCCGAGTTCAAGAAGGATGCGACATGACAGTTTATCTATTAATTAGGCATAGTTTGTTAGTTTCCTTTTATCTTTAGGAAAGTGTGTTTAGTGTCCGATAAGGACTTTATCTTTTCCTTTTTAGTTTCTTTCTTGTCCGATAAGGACTAGTATCTCCCTATGGGTATAAATATGTACACCCGGGGTCATTGTAATCTATCTTCACGATCAATACAATTCGACGCATCGCCACATTTTACCTTTTCTATTTTATTTTATCGTCCGGCGGGACTTGGCACCTGACGCGGGGCTGCATCGGTGTTCGATCTCCGGCGAAGGGGTAAGTCCAATGTTCCTCCTGTCCAGGCAATTGTATCGTCTACGTCGGCGTCGTTCAAGGCTGCATCAGTATATTCGACCTCTTGAATTACTCTGGTTTGGATAATATATTTGCCTACCTATTTATCATATGTCTCTGTTAATCTAGTCTTAGCATATCAATTTAGCTCTATCGGCTGCTTCTCGCTTTAGGGTTTCTGCCGGTATCGGCTAAATCGCCTTACTAGGTTAGATTATCCTAGGCATCTACCACCCTGAAAATCAGTCATCGGCTTGATTGCCTAGATATTATGTTTCTTTTCATACTTAGTGCTACATCAGTTAAGTTTGATCTACTAAGTCGTGCTTAGAACCATAATCTCTAGCCTGCTTCTTGATTGCCAATAAGGGTTTCATCGGGGTTTCAGCCGGTGAGTTATCTGGACGTTGCATCGGCTCATAAGGATTGCATATATAGACACACACACACACATATATATACACATATATATATACACATACACACACACACACACACACACACACACACACACACACACACACACACACACACACATATATATATATATATATATATATATATATATATATATATATATAAAAGTTGGATTTAGCCTATGACAACAAAGGTTTCACTGTTTAATCTAATCTTGTGGATTTCATGACATCGGACCTCCAGCCGATGTGTGCTTTAACCTTCGGATCGATGCTTATTTATCATATCATTATTTGCCGATTGGTTTATACTGGATTATATTATTATTTCATTACATCGTCATCAGCCGATTGCCTTTATATCATTATCTACATTGGACATATAGCCGATTGCTTAAACCCTATCGCTATCAGCTGGTATCGGCATCGGCTATCGGCTGGAACTACTCCATCGGCTTGTCAGCCGATTGGCTGTTTTGATATACTATTTGCATATCTTGTCAGTTGCAGGATCAAACTGATTGGCACGCTCGTATCTCATCAAGATTTAGACCTGCACAGGAGCTAAGCAGATCTACCAGGCCAGTGTGTTCGATTTTTTTCGTCAACAAGATTCCGCCTATAAACTGCGAGACGAATTTATTAAGCCTAATTAATTCGTTATTAGCAAATGTTTACTGTAGCGAAACATTGTCAAATCATGGCGTAATTAGGCTCAAAAGATTCGTCTCGCAATTTACATACAAACTGTGCAATTATTTTTTTCATTCACATTTAATGCTCCATGTATGTGTCCAAATATTCGATGCAATGTTTTTAGAAAAAAAAAATTAAATCTAAACACGGCCTACAGCATTATTCTGTTAACGCCGTGCATGGATCGGTTGAAGATTATACAGTGGGCAAGATTACACATATTAATGCGAGATGTGACCTGAGTCTTGAAATCGAATCGAATTGCGGTGTCAAATACAGCAACAAGATCTACCGTTCTATGCATATCACTATCAAACACAGGATGAGAAAGAGCTTAACTAAAAACCACTGGCAACAAAATTTTTGCATTCTTTTTCCATTAAAAGAAACTTAAAGCCTCAAGATTCGATTACTCAAATATCCATGCGTTGATGCGTCAAACTGTATATATACAAATGATCATGCAGGTTCATCTACAGTGCACAGACAGTGAAGACGCCATTGTTGTCAGAAGCACTGTTTTATCCTTTTGTAGCAAATTAGTACGTATCATCGCGATTCCCGGACAACTTCTCTTTCAGCCACACTGATCGAAAAGCTAACGAGACAGCATTTGGGACTTCATCATGATCGCCTTCATGAAACTATCAAAGCTCATTGGGTGAATTGCTGTTGATGAAGTACTCATCAGTTTTTTCAGACCCATAGTCTGTCATCTTCTGCACTATATTTGTCGATCGAGTGAGACTTTAGCTTGTACAACATCAAGGGCTTGTTTCAAACAAGGCACTAAAGACAGGGCAGCACGGCTCGCTCTGTAGCTGTTAAGTGACTACGAGATGATCATGGATGATGTAGCAAAAGCAGTTGATTTTAATATTATTCAAAACACTGCTTTATGAATAAGGCCCAGTTTGATTTAAGATTACTAGCGAATTATCGACTTATGATAAAAATAAAGGAGGAGGCAAAAACTTGGGGAATTTTTCTTCATAGACGACATGTAACTCTGTACAGTTTTTCCTTACTCCTAGGGGTTGTATTTTTCTTCATCTATATTCAATTAAATAGCACGCTCTAGTGCTGGCTTCCGTTCAAAAAACAAATAAGCTTTACAAATACTCCAAACTTAAAACAAGTGCTCTAAACAGTACAATAGAAGACAGTCTTTTGAGGAAAAAAAACATATTTTTTAAGAATACAGTAAATAATCTTTTTCAATAATCCAGTGAATATAACATGGCCTAAATCCAAGTCGTTGGATATTTTTTTAATCAGAGAATCAATACGGCTCCCTTATGCATTTGAGCATATCGATCACTGTTCATCTTCATCCTCTGCATCAAGACCCTTAATGGGCCATTTCTTGGACCGTGTGGATTGGCCTTTCTAAATGGGCCTTGAGAGGACATGGTGCCTGGAGATAGCACAACCTGAAGAGTCAGGTCAATGGCATTATAGTATCTGAAAAAAGAAGAGGCTTCAGATTGCTTCTCGATCAGACATTCAGACAGCTCGTTGCAGGTTTTAGGTCATATCATCTAGGTTAGGTACAGATGCTGGGCCATTTGATCTAAGGCATCAAACCTTAAGTTGGACAACCTTCAGATTGCTTCTTCTTTTCCAGATCATCACATCAAGTTGGACATCTCAATCTACACCAAAGCATGCATGAAAGATAACTACTCAACTGAAAAACAGTGTGAAAAAGAAGAAGAGGAAGAACAGAAGCAGGGCTTGTTTGGTTGCGTACACGTCAGGATTAGTGTGCTGCTGATGAGGGATTTTTCTTTGATAGGAGTAAGATTTATGTTACTACTACATTGATATTCATAAATATTCACATGGTTTTAAACCTTTTAGTGCCATTTGACCAGCTAGTACCAGCAGCAAAACTTAAATCTGTAAAGCTTGAACCGTCAGACAAAATAGTTTCTGAAAGCTTTGCATGAAACAACATAAAGAAACTTAAATCTAATAGGCAGGCATGTGAAATAACACGCATAAAGGAGCACAAATACACAACATGACAATTCTCATACCTTGTGGAAGAATCCAATATCCTCACACTACTACATGTAATTAAGCCAGGCAAGCTTGTGATATTGGCACGGCTCAATCAGACCAAACAAAACCATACTGCATATCCCTGCATCTTGCTTAGCTAGTGCATAAGTTTGCCCGGTTTGATTGAACCATGCCAACATCGCACTCTCCCAGCCCAAGAAAAACGCTTGGATGCAACCAGATCATATCCTCTCATATAAATGGTTTGCCCAACAGCTCCGCAAGTGTAAACTGATCAAGAGATGGCTGAAAATGTTCATGGAAATATGCAGACATCGAGCTGAATTAATAGCCGGCAGCAACGACATGGCGAACGCAAACCCAAGAAGAAAATGATAGGTAGAAATGGTTGAGACGTCCATATCTCGCCTTGCTCTCTCTCACACGGAGAAAAGGCAAGGCAAGCATGCATCACACGGACAAAAAAATTATAAATACAATTTGCAAGACAATACGTAAGGGAAGAAGAAGTAGGAGAAGGTAGGCATGGGCCAATGGCTTGCCGATGCTTCTTTCCTCTGGTAGTTGTTGATGACCATTCTGCTTGCCCTGATGGCTGATGAACAGCTCGATCGATCGATCGATCATACATGCGTCTACACGTTTGTCATCTGTCATCTGACCAGCATGCAGCAGGAGCCAGGTTTTCAGTTGAATCGGCTGCTGATTCCAGGGTAGTTTTCAGTCTGAAACTCTGAAGAACTCTCACCTTTTGGCCGGCACGGCCGGTTGACATTGTCCTTGATGTGTTTGATTTGGTCTAGGCCGGCCTGCAGCTATGGAAAAATGGGTTGTGTTTTAGGTGACTGATTACTCGCTGCTTTGCGTGTGAATTGTGGTTTGTCAGGTAAGCCCAGCTGTTAAGCGACAGCAGGACGAGAACACACATATACAAGATGCTGAATTGCTGGTGACCTGTACCTTCGAAAAGTATCAATATTCAGACCTGGAGATAGCTTAAATTATGCTGAATTTCTAACTGTCCAATGGCTCTGGTTTGGTTTGATCTTCTCAAATACTGTAATAGTATTATAACAAGCTGTGCAAATGTCTACACAGATGTATCCATGTTAAGTCGCTGTCCTATTGGCACCAAAGATCTTGTGATCTCAAACCCCATACCACTATACTAGCCTAGCATTGAACACACTGTATCTGAAAATTCTGAAACCATATCCACGCAAAGGTACAATTGCCTGTTTCAGATTCTTCTACAGTGTCAGTTGGTACCTAACATGTCTTGTTCCTATAGCCTACGGCCATCCCGGATGAATCCCTACTCCTATTTAGGATGGTCACACTAGAAGAATTTAAGGTGCCACAGGATCTTGAGTGCAATAGAAAGTTAATCAGAGCTAGTAATTAATGTGAAATAGTAGCAGCAATGTGGACATAAAAGTTTGGCAAGCTGCAGTGTAATTAAGAGTATGCAGGTACACTAAGCCACACACATCAAAATCACCCGAAATTTGAAACTTAAAATGTCGATATGCAGATAGCAACCGGTAGCTTCTGAACGGTAATCACTCTGTTGATACTTGATACCACTGGGGCTTGTTTAGCAAGAGACAAAAAGGACAGCAGCACGATGATAATGCTCTCTGTTTAAGAATCATCAAACCATCAATGATGAGCAGATGGGCTAATCAGAATCCCAACAAATAAAAAGGACACTGGTCGATCGATAAGATGCTAGGTGGATATTGTTGAGCCAAGTTGGCTGCACATTGCAATTTTTTTTCTCTACTATACTAAAATTTAGCCGTACCAGTAGGATTAAATTACAGGACACCAATTGTGCTTATTTTGCAGGTATAATCCAGGGAGGCAGGCGTGTAGTTGTACTAACATGGCCCTGTTTAGTTCCAAAGTTTTTTTTCCAAACTTTCAATTTTCCATCACATCAAAACTTTCATACACACACAATTTTTCTATTACATCATACCAATTTCAACCAAACTTTCAAACTTCAGTGTGAACTAAACACAACCTTTACAGGTGTTTGTACCTTACACGCCATTTGATCATCAAGCTGTCTGTCTACGTGTAGCCTTAGCCCTCTATAGACTATAGTCTATAGAAGCAACCGGTTATGCGTGCCACGAGCTGAATAGCTCATGACCGGACTTGTCGAGTGCAATACGTGCATTCGTTATGTACCTATGTCATTGATGCATGATTGACAGATTATTAGCACATCGGTTTGTCAGTCTAGCATGATTTCCCTTAATTACTATAGTCCCGTTCTTTTCTTAACAAGAGTTGGATGAAAATTAAGATTTTCGTGGCATGCTTTTCAAACTGCTAAACGGTGTGACTCGTGCGAAAACTTTCTATATGAAAGTTGCTATAAAATATCATATTAATCTATTTTTCAAATTTATAATAATTAAAACTCAATTAATCATACGTTAATACCACCTTGTTTTACGTAAAAAAACTTAATCTTCATTTTTAGGAGAAAAGAACACCACCTATTTGGGAAATGGTTAGCGCTCCGTGGCAAGTCCAATTATCTTAGTAAATCGAGAAAAAACAAACAAACTACATAAACACCTTTTTTTTAAAAGAAAAATTAAACTTGACCAAGTTATCGAGCCCTTCTATCGCGGCACCCCGGTGGTGAGGAAACCACGGAGTACGAGATGAACAAGATAATTGTAGGTGGATCCATATGTCAACGAGACAAACCAGTATCATAGATAATAAATCTATAAAAATCTTAGGAAAGCAAATTTGCATTATTACATAAAAAAATAAACTAATGATTATCAGAAAACCTAGACAACAGTATCCCGTTGGAACGGGATACCTTTCTATGAGACAGTATCTGATACCTGATACCTATTGAGGTATCAGCTGCATGGTACTTGATACCTGTGATACATGTTACCTGGTACCTGTGATACTTAGAACCTGATACCTGTGATACTCGTGTAAGAAAATAGTTAATATGTATATCCCATCGCAACGGGACCCCGTTTTGTAGCAGCCCTCGTGATTATTCATGATTCCAGGGAATACATAATATACTGGATATAACCTTAGCCAGCGGCCCGTTTAGGCCCGCGATATACAGGCCCATTGGCCCGGCCCAGATACATTGCGTGGGGGACAATTCCGGCATCGACGGGATAGATTCGCCGGTCCAGCCGCCGCCGCCGGCACAACCCGCAGCCGCCGCCAGCGAGCGAGCGAGCGAGAGAGACAGAGAGAGAGAGATGGCGCTGACCAACTTCGTGCTGACGGTGGCGGCGGTGGGCGCGGCGGCGCTCCTCTTCACCACCGACATCCGCAAGTCCGGCGCGATGTTCCGCCGCAACGCCCGCCAGATTCGTGCCTGGCTCGAGGAGGAATCCGCCTCCGCCGCGTCCAGGTAAATCCACGGCTCTTGCTCTCAGCTTTCGATAGGCGCCGCTGATGCGGGGGAGTAGACGATCTCGATGGATAATATTAATACTGGTTTTATCATTCCTGAGGCAATCGTTGATTCATGGGAGAAATTGTTCGGTTGGTGGATTTGAAGTGTGATGGGAATTGGGATAGGGGCCAAGTCGAATTAAGGTTCGATTTCACTTGGTCCCTTCGAAGTATCGGTGTTTGCTTGGAGCCTTGGATACAAAGTCATGGGTTTAGTAGTTAGGGTTAGGATTCTGAACCCCCGACTTTTGCAGATAAACAGAGAGGGCAAGAAGTTTGCCCTGAGACTGAGGTGTCTATTGCTTTCCATTTGTATGAGTTAGTGGTTGATACTTGCTAGCAAAGTATGTTGAAGATTCCCCACCTAATTAGGCAAAGTAATTAGCCAACTGTTTGAACAGAATGGTTGAATCGAAGCTGCCAAAGATGGCAATGAGTCTGTAAGAGATGAACTGTCATACCAAGGTGGCAATGAATCTAGATTGTGATCCATCACTTCGAGTTTGTCAATCCTTGTCCTTATTCGAAAAAACAAAAGAATTTGTCAGTCCTTGTGATTGTAATAAGTATAATTTGCAGTTCTTAACAAGGAGTGAATCATGCAGCTGTTCTGCGTTAGAAATGCATGCACAACTTTTTTTAAATGATGTATGTGTAAATTTACATTGTACAATTCACTATGATTATATTTATGCGCTCTCTAGTTGCATATTTAATTTATGGAAGGCTAGACAGCTATAATTCATTTAAATCAGTCTGAAAAGAAAACATAATTTTAATTTGTTTATTGCAAAGTTTGTAAAAGCGTATCTGAGTGAGCATTATATATTTATACTTTCATGTAGCTCGTGATGCAGGAGTTCTATTTCTCAAAACAAACAGTGTGATTCCTAGAAAGATGCAGCAAAAATTGCCTTAGGTTTTTAATTATCACATTCTTGGTCCTGAATGAAAACATCATTTTTATCTGACAGTCAAGGCGATCTGCTTTTACTGAATTATGGTTGAAATCTTGAAATGCATAGCACATGATGCTTCTCAGTTGTTTCAACATTATGTTTCTGCATGGTGCAAATCCTCACGAAAATTGATCTTGTTGCAGGTCAGCAAAAGACGCACCTCCCAAGAAACTGAATGGGGATATTCCAAAGGAGAAGCCAAAGGAAGATGGTCACTGAAGTGTTTTGGCTCTGTCTAGATGTAGAAAATGAATGGAGCATCTAATTGGCCTTTCCTTTCTTCTTAAGATCTAAAGCTCGTAGCATAAATAAGATGCACTATAGTAGCTTCGAAGCCTTCGATGTGTGCATAGCTGTATATTTTGTCCAATGCAGCAGACATGATTGTTCCCTTATATGGACGGGAGAAATTTGGCAGAGTTGCATTACTGTGCCTTCTGTCTTGGTACCAGTAATTCAGTACTCCAGAATTGAAATGAAGTTGTAGTGCGGAACAAGAAGCTGAAATTTCTCTTTGCGGCAGGCTGCATCATGAGTTTATTGTCTATATGCCATGGTTAGTGTATATTCAGTACTCTGTGTCATATTGTGCATACACCATTAGTTGCAAAATAAACCAATCTAGTACTTATACTATGTTAGGATCTATTCAGATTTATATTCAGATTTATAGTACTAGTATGTGTCAAATTCTGTACAACTTGGTTTATTTGGAGATAGAGGGAGTATGTCATATACAGTGTATACTCAGTACTGTGCGAGTCATTTATGATTGGGACAGCGAATCTGAGATAAACAGGGTAGCCAACAGACTGTAGAGAGTGCCAATCTAGCTCCAAAAGACAATCAGAGACATGGCAATTACCTTTAATGAATGGATCAAAGGGAAGGGGAACATATTAGTGCTGGTATTGAAATATTTCCAGCTGTGTTTAGTTCACTGTATGCTGTGTGAAGGGCCATCTCTGCATTGCATCACAAGAATCAAGTAACCATGGCCGCATCAATTCCGCAATCGCTGTGCCAGAGGAAGAAGACGCCTCATGGGCCGGAAGGGGATTGCGAGGTCCGTGCGGGCCGTGATACATGGGCCGAAACCGGATTGAATTGTCTATGTGGGCCATACTACATGGGCCGGGAACGGGATTGCGCTGTCTGTGCGGCCCATTCCACAAATTCGCACGGCCCGGCTGCATCGAGGGCAACTATTCCTCCGGAATTCGGTTAAGAAGAAAGCCTCTGCCTCCCACGCCGTCGCACGGACGACGTTGCGGTGGCGCCGGCGTCCTCGCCGCCGACGTCGACGCGCAAGGCGGCGGCCGTCTTTCACCGCAGGACGTGGCACTGGACTGATTGATCGATCGAGGAAGACGTCGATCTCTGTCGCCTCCGCTGAATCCAAGTAGGCCACTCATAACCCTAGATCAGATGTCTAACTTTCTTGCTCGCTGCTGTTCTTTTCTTGGGTGTAATTTAAAGTGGTTCCTACGATTTAGCAATCTTTGCATCAAGTTCAACTTGTTCTCCCTTTTGGGTTTATGGCTTTTCGGGACATTAATTCAGAATCGAGAGTGAAAAATTCGGGTGCCAAAGATAGTGCAATTAACCTATACGGCATCAAGTTACCAACAGAATCTTAAGACTTAATTAAGTCCTGCTTGAAACTTCAGAGAAATTTTCTATGTAAATTGAACCGACCTGTGAAAATCCTACGTACACATTCTTACATTTCAATGGAAGCTTAATTATGATTTCGTAAAGGTTTGAGCCGTGTCCCGCTAGCTACTGTGTAGGCTCACACATATATATAGAGGTTGATCATCATGTCTGTATGCCACTGTTACACTTTGTTCTTAAAAGCTTTTAAGGAGTGACACTGTGATACTGCACTACAATCGGAGTTTTCCGGGCGTTTGGTGCAGTGATCAGTGCACGCGTAGTACTCTCTTCGTCCAAAAAAAAAACAAATATAAAACTGAATATATGTGACATATCCCAGTACAATAAATCTAGATAGAAGTATCTGGATAGACTCCTATCCAGATTTATTGTATTGTGATATATCACATCTAGTTTTGGGTTTGTTTTTATGGGACGGAGGGACTCTCTCAGTCCTATAATATAAGAGATTTTGGAGGGATGTGACATATTTTAGACTACGAATCTGGACAAGCACCATGCTCGAGATTCACATTTTCAACTTTTTACTAAGATATAACATTCCTCTAAAATCTCTTATATTATAAGATGGAGGGAGTAGTACCCTGGGTACTGGCCAAAGCCACAAATTGGTGGGTCGACGTCTCATCTGTCATCTGTGCAATCGATCGATGATAGATAAAGGCGAATGGAGATGGTCCATCGATTGGTGAAGTGAGCTGCAACTGTACCCGAAGGTTCCGTTGCAGGTTGAAAAAAAAAACACACTGTCCCATGAGATGTCCATCGAATCGGTTGCGGACGCAGTACAGGCCGTTATTACTTGAGCTTAACCCTGAAATTTGAAAACGAACCCCAATTCCATGCTCGCTATTTTCTCTGTTCTAAAATATAAACAATTATAGAGTTTCCATGATGAGTAAGGAGAGAGAAACTAAATTAGCGATGGTTATAACTGGTTAGGTGTATATAAGGAGCTATTTTGTCATAGCTATAATTTAGTGCAAAAGGAGTAGCTAGTTTAGTATAGCACCATCAAATTGATTCGTGGTAAATTCTTGGAATAAACCAGCATGAGATCGAATGTCCAATTAGTATATGATTTTTTGCGCGAACTAATTTCGAAGAAAATACTGTAAAATTAATTCTTGCGTTCTAAAAGATACTCTTATTTTTATGGTACCTGTGGGTACCCTAATACTCCTTCCATCGCAAAATAAACCAACCTTACAAGTAACAAGATTGGTTTATTTTGAAAAACATTTTAGTACAAGGTTGGTTTATTTTAGAACACGACACATTTTAGTACGAAGTTCATATATATTAATATATATTAGGATGGAGGGAGTTCTATACAATGTATGTGTCTGTTTTCTGTTGGTTGGTGGTTTACTAGTAGTTAGGATTGCAATCATCGTGCCATGTCGGTGAGCCGGAAAGGCATGCATATGATAGCTAGGACGACGGGTAGCTGATGTGATCTGGGAAGGACGACGACGACGAGACCCATGAGATGACCTCGCTGTTGAGCACAGCATAGTGTTTGTGCGGTTGGAACAGCAAATCTGAGGAAAATGTGCCCGGTCTTTTCACCCATTCGGAGCTGGCCAGGACGGGAGACTTGACCGGCTGGCTGGTGACTGTTCCAGTGGCGCCCAGGAATCTGAAATGGAAGGCCTCGAAACAATAAGCATTTTACTTTCTGTTTCTACTACGGCCTTTCTGCATGCCACTGTGCCTAGACTTGATAGGACGTACGGTTAAATTAGTTAGTATCTTTAATTAGTTGATCTCTTTAGATAATGTTGCTAATTTAATTAGTTGTTCTGATCATCGTACGCTCGTCCTTGAGTTTATCTCTCAAAAGGACTAATTAATTGCTCTAAACTTTCTCTGCGCAACTGTCATGTACGGTCTCCACAAGAACAAGCTGAACTATTAGTTGATTTAATTAGTTCTCAACAAGCACTACTTCACCATGATCTGGGCCGTTGATCCCCGCGATCCGACGGTCCAGATCGGATTAACCACCCGTACGTACGTCCCGTGTCCATCATTGATTCACATCTAATTAACTACATATAGGCATGCATGCATCAACCGATCACCTGAGATATCGATCAGATAGATCTACCTAGCACTTTCCCCATGATGAGATCTCAAATGCCCAAATTGCATATGCATTGCCATCATTGAGTTAGCTGCTGCTAGAGTAGTGTGGTTAGATGCTGTCCGTCGTCCGTACGTATGTCCGTTTGGGCCGGAGGCAGGCAAGCTAGGTACGTGGTGGTCCAGCAATAGCGAGTTCCTCTGGACAGAGAGGGAAATGGGGATCGTTGCGTGGTTGGCACTTGCCTGCTGCTGCGTCGCCTGCATTGATTTGCTATTGATCCACTCAGAGCCTGTTTAGTTCGCGAACTAAAAATAAATTTTTAATGTGTCACATCAAATATACGGACACATATTTAAAGTATTAAACGCACACTGATAACAAAATAAATTACAGGTTCTGCCTAAAAACTACGAGACGAATTTATTAATGCTAATTAATCTGTCAGTAGCAAATATTTATTGTAGCACCATATTATCAAATCATGACGCAATTAGACTTAAAAGATTCGTCTCGTAATTTACACGTAATCTGTGTAATTTGTTTTTTATCCATATTTAATACTTTATATATGTGTCCAAACATTTAATGTGACATGTTAAAAACTTTTTGTTTGGAAACAACTAAACAGAGCCCTCAGTCAGTCTGGCCACCAGAATCTACATGCGCCGGCCGATCGATCGTTCGGTCAATCCACCAACCACATTTCCTCGCACCGCATTGATACCCCGGCCGCGGCGGAGTGCGGGCGCGCGCGGCGCACGAGCTATTTCGCTTTCTTCCCGTCGATCTCCGCACGAGCGCGCTAGCGATATACTAGCCCCAGCGACATGCGAGTCTCCCATGCGTTCGCGTCGGCTTTGCCTTTGCGATGCGTTGTCTCTGCCTCGATTAATTTAGCGTTTACTCCAATATGTACATGCATACAAGCACGTGCGAGTAAAAGAGTTGGCTATATATATATATATATATATATATATATATATATATATATAAAGTCTCATGGAAACGTTTTCAACGAAATAAGAACCATACAAAATAGATTTCTTGATCTTAGGAAAACTCTTTTTTTCGCAGTTTTTTCTTTTATCCTAAAGATATGCAGAACGAGTGTATTATGAAATGTTCGTTGTCTTTCTTTGCTATATATATATATATATATATATATATATATATATATATATATATATATATATATATATATATATATATTACTCCTTCCATTTTAAAATATGAGGCACAACCACCCTTAACCTAAAGATTAAGAAATAATTATTATTATATTGTATTTTGGACCATCCTAATAAATATAATGCATGCATCCAATATGATTAGATAATACGAGAGTGGAGGATTTAAAAAAGAAATAATTTAATAGAGAAGATGTTATAGTTAATTGCATGCTTGCATATATGCTTTGTACTATGGAACATCTAAAAAAAATAGTTGTGCCTTATATTATGGAATGGAGGGCGTATATCCTTGTGTCTGTCTCGGAGGAATTAATTAAGCTTAAGAAGCCTTTGTCTTGGAGGAATTAATTAAGATGTGTGATCATTCATAAGGGGTGTATGGTACGGATGACCCGGCCTAGTGCTCAAACTTAAACAAGTCCATTTCTTAGAGACAAAAAAAGGACAAGCTAGTACTCCAATGCGCACACTGGTGGAGAAATGCTTTTTAGTCCCGGTTCGTAACCCCCTGTAGTTCCGGTTTTTCAACCGGGACTACGAATCCGGGACTAAAGATCGCTATCTTTAGTCCCGGTTCAAATAACCGGGACTAAAGATATTTTTTCTTTTTTTTCTGCTTTTAATATTGAATATTGATTTCACACCATCCCCTCCCATATCCAAATCATCACATATTACAGAACATCTCCAAATCCTCAAACAAATCATCTCCAAATACATCACAAACTCTTAAAAAAATTACATCACAGGGTTCTAAAAAATTCATAACAGATTCACATCTCACACAAAAATACATCACAGATTCACATCTCAAAAAAAAAGAAAAAAAATCCGGCCGGCGGCCACTGCCGCCTCCCCTCCTCCCCTCCACGCCGGCCGGCCAGCGCCGAGCCGGTCGCCGCCGAGCGGCCGCCCACCGCAGCCGCCGCCTCCGCGCGGCCCCCGGCGCCGCCGCGCGGCCTCCCGCGCCGCCGCGCTGGCCGCCCACCGCCGCCGCTGCGCGGCCCCCCGTGCTGCCGCGCCGGCCGCCGCGCAGGCCGCCTCCGCACCGTCCCCTGCGTCGCCGCCTCCGCGCCGGCCGCCTGCACTGTGGTGAAGGAAAAAAGGAAGGAGAGGAGGGGAGCTAGAGATAAGGAAAGAGATAAGAAGTTAGAGAGGAAAAAAAGAGATAGAGGGAGGAGTTTGTTGTGTGGACGGGAAAAGAGGATCGGTACTATGGATTATATAGTGTGTTTTGATTTTTATTCCCGGTTAGTAACACCAACCGGGACTAAAAATAGGTCTTTAGTCCCGGTTGGTGTTACTAACCGGGACTAAAGATCATAGGGCCCTGACACAGCCTGACATGGAATCAACCGGGACTAAAAATGAACTTTAGTCCCGGTTGGAGTTACCAACCGGGACTAAAGATGATGTTTAGTCCCGGTTGGTAACAACAACCGGGACTAAAGATCTTCCTCTTATTACCCGGGACTAAAAATCATTTTTAGTCTCGGTTTTTAATGGAACCGGGACTATTGTGGATATAGGTCGACCGACCAAAGATGGTTTCTCTACCAGTGGCACCATTTGGTATACCTAATATATAGTTAATGTTATTTATTTGTTTTTATTAAACAGAACTAGGGATCGAGCGTTCGATAGGGTGAAAAAATCAGATGGTCAAATGTTGCACTTATCTGTTAGCTGAAACATCAAGTTGTATATGGTGAAACAATAAATTAGTCATTCAAACATTTTAAAGTCATGTGACACAATAATAAAATATCCGTTGAAACATTCACTCCTAAGTACTATGAAACACCGAATTTTAAGTATATTGCTTTCATGAGAATATAATTATATGAGAGATTTGTTGTAAATGTTTAATTGTATCAACAAGGATAAATAATTAGAAGAAAAAACATTTGAAGCTTGCTAAATGGATCTTTCTTGCATGCATGCATTAGCAGGTGTCTGATTTTTTTTTTGTCTTGATCGGACACCTGAAGCAAAGTATTGTGTTATCTATTTCTCTCTTCAGTCCCTGCGCTTTCTCCCTCATATAGCCAGCTATCCAACATAAAAAAATGGATGCTTTTTTTTTGGTAAATGAAAGAACAATGATTTTCGAGGTTAATATTCCGTATGCTTTACATAATATGATTTTATTTATGCTACATTAGGAAATGTTAAAACAAAATGATCTTGTACACGAAGGCCCAGCTCTAAACTGCTGATGGATAGTGGAAGTAATTTAGTTAAAGACAATTATTGGAGAGCACAAATACATGAATTAAATATTTGAAGGTTGAAAATTAAAGTTGATTTTAAAAAGTTTTCTTAGGAATATCGATAAAGAAATTGATATAAAAATCGTACCGTTTAAGAGCTTGGAAGAGCTCGGAAGTATGTCCATGATAATACATCATCCGTTTGTTCAAAAGAACAGCCCCAAAATACCACGAACGTGAAGGGGAAAATGGCATGCCACATCAGTACACGGAGTGTTTTGGAGCCCGTTTGGACCTATATAACACCTAGGACTAGCTCGGAATCCAAAAGTACATTTTAAGAGTTCAGGGATCTAGCTAGATAATACACCCGCATAAGTTTAGGGACCACCCGTATATTTTACTCATAAATAAACAAATAAATAAAGCCATTATCTGGTGGACTTGTCATTTGAATGACAAGAAGACTTCAAGCTAGTACAAAATAACAAAACCGAAGGAGAAGCATCCAGGGTATGGTAGTAGAGTCGTGGGTGAGAATGACTTCGGTCAATAGGATATAATTACGTACATAAGGATGTGCCTAGTTCCTAAGTATAAGCGTTTCTAGGTTGGTTAGTAAAGATTAAGAATAATTATAGGAGAAAGATCCCCTTTTAATCACCACATTGTTCAATTGTTGAATCTTGGACTGACTGGATCCCCTCATAAGTTACTGATGGGCTAAAAATGCAGGATTCACATGTATGTATCGGTGCCTAAAAATGTTTTTGTTGTGTATAAAATTTGAATCATAGATATACTAGAGTTATTTAGGAATAGAGGGAGTAATTAACTCTCACTGGTGGAGAAGTGGTTTTTACTCCCGGTTCGTAACCCCTATATAGTTCCGGTTTTTCAACCGGGACTACGAATCCGGGACTAAAAATAGCGATCTTTAGTCCTGGGTGAAATAACCGGGAGTAAAAATCGATTTTTAGTCCCGGTTGGTAACACCAACCGGGACTAAAGATACTTACCAACCGGGACTAAAGAGGCAGATCCGGTTGCTTCTTTATTCTTTTCTTCTCTTCATTATTTTTCATTATTTTTAATATATTGATTTCACCCTAGCCCTATCCCGTCCCTAAATTCCCAAAACAATCATCCTCAAATTGCCTTCAAATCCAAAAATCGATCATCTCAGATACATCACAAAATCTAAAAAAAAATTACATCACAACTTCTACAAAATTCAATCACATATTCACATCTCACACAAATCAAATACGGCCCGCGCCCCGCCGCCGCAGGCCGCCGCAGGCCGCCGCCGGCGGCCGCCGCGTTGCCGCGCGCCGCGCCGCCCTCGCGCCGGCCGCCAGGCCACAACCGCAGGCCGCCGGCGGCCACCGCCTCGCCGCGCGCCGCGCCGCCCTCCGCGCTGCGCCACCCTCACGCCGGCCGCGAGGCCGCCGGCGGCCGCCGCCGCCTCGCCGCGCACCGCGCCGCCCTCCGCGCCCCGCCGCGAGGCCGCCTCCTCACAGGCCGCAGGCGGCCGCCGCCGCGCCGGCCGGCCTGGCCTCCGTGCCCCGCCGCTTCGCGCCGGCCTGGCACCCTCGCCGCACCGCTGCAGTGTAGAGAGGAGAAGGAGAGGAATAGATAAGGTTGAGGAGAGAGTTAAAAGGAGAGGAGGAGATAAGGTTGAGGAGAGGAGGAGGGAGGAGTTAAAAGGAGAGGAGGAGATACCTCGATCCAATCGCGCAAGCCTCTCCAATCTCCGCGTCGATCTTTTTTCCCGGTTGGTGTTACTAACCGGGACTATAAATAGATCTTTAGTCCCGGTTGGTAACACCAACCGGGAGTAAAGTGTATAGCGATCTTTTTTCCTGGTTGGTATTACCAAACGGGACTACAAATAGATCTTTAGTCCCAATTGGTAACACCAACCGGTACTAAAGATTGAAAAGTACCCCTAGAGCTTTAAAACCGGGACTAAAGATATTTTTAGTCCCGGTTTTTAATATAACCGGGACTATTGTGAAATCTGGTCGACTGATCAAAGATGGTTTCTCCACCAGTGTCTCTATTCATGGAGATATATATATATATCTTTTAATTAAATGGGTGCTGTATATTTTTTAGAAGAGCACAAAATGGGTGCTGTATATGGATTCGAAAAGAAAATCGTACCCCGACATGGCATCAATTGGCTTCTCAAAAAGATGGGGCAAAGGAAAAGATGCACGCTCAACTTGCAGGTACATGCCAGCCAATCGTGGCCACACTCTTGTACTGAAGTTTTGTCTATCTTTAATTTTACCAAGTATGTGAACACACACACACATATATATCCCAATGTTTACCAATATATATGTATTTACGTATGTATGTATGTGTTTCTTATGTTTAGTTACAGAGATGGAAAGAACATTAATAAGTATACACCAAGACCAAAAACTGACAAAAACAAAAGATGTAGAGGGGGCAAGCAACAGAGAGAACAACAAAATGTGTGACTAAACAATCTATAACATACACTTCCTCCTATCTTTCTTTCCTGTATACAAATTATCCTTAACCCCCCAACAATAATGCCTAAACTAAAGGAATTAATCTAGCTAAATTAAGAATCATCTTGGAAAAAAGAAGGAGAGTTCTCTCATATTAATATTTCTCCCCATCCCATGCATGCATATGCATCCATCACCTCCAAGGCTAGGCACCATTTTGCAAATTAATCTCTCTCTCTAGAGATCTCTGATGCTTGATCTCTTTTAATTTCTCTCTCCTTGCTGTAACTTTTTTTGTTTCTCTCTCTAGATCTTCTTCTCACTCTAGTGCTCCAAGTGCAATGCATGGATGAGCCAAATCATGGATGGATAGGTAGGTGTGTAGTATGCAGAAATGATCAGCAACCACTGTAGTCTCGCAAGGAGAAGCGGCCGCTGCCGTCGGGCCCGGCGTTGCCGGCGCCGGCGTGCTGCAGGCCCAGCGTCAGCGACACGTCGCCGGCCGCCGCCGCGGCGGCGCCGGCGGCGGCGCCCGCCGGCCCGTACCGCACCCTGACGGCGCCGGCCGGGTCGAACCGCCCGTACAGGTCGTCGGCCGCCGCGCCGTCGCCGCCGAGGAGCTCCACCGGGTCGATGCCGACGAAGGCGGCGTCCGCCACCGCCGCCGCCGACGACGAGGAGGGCCCCGCGACGACGCCGGGCTCGTGCTTGTGCGACGACATGGCGGCGCCGCCGCCGCTGGACGCGCCGCCGTGCTCTACCATTAGCTGGCCGTGCCTGTGCTGATGATGCGCGGCGGCGGTGGTCGTCGGCGAGTGCGTGTCGTCGGCGCCGGAGGGGTCGTCGCCGGCGCCGGAGGAGCCCTCGAGCTCCTTGCATTCTTGCTGGTACATCTCCTCGATCATGGGCTTCCATAGCCGGACACGGGCGTTGATGAACCAATTCGAGACCTGCACACACATTTTGATTGAAATCCAACCAAAGGAATTATTGCAGTGAGAGACACAGTAGCACACGTACGTAAATGGGGGCCATATGCATGATGCATGGTCCATGTGCATGGGCAATGGCGCCATTCGTGCATGCATGCATGCATGTGTGCAGGGACGTGTAGGGCTAACACTAGCTAGCTAGGCAACTCCTCACTCTCTCCTAACTGTCATGTTTTAGTTTTATCCTCCTTTTGTCTTGTTTCATTTGGTGCCCCTTTGTTACTTTGGTGATCCACTTTCTTTTTGTAACATGTGCAGTTGTTCTGGTTTTTTGGATGGGTATATAATATACATATATGCTTTGTAAAATGGTAAGGATGGAGAAATGGCATGCTAATGCATTCCCCTAGCTAGCATGCAAATTATGCTATTTGTACTTGCTTACTTATTTGTTGAAACATTGTGGAATAATGAACTAATTAGTCAAGTGAACATTAAGCTGATAGGTTATTTTTAGGGCAAACATCTCTTTGCCAACTGAAAAACAATGGTTAAAAACTTGATAACTATAGTTTGATGCCCCTAGCTTAATTAAATTACAAAAGGTGATTTTTTTAATTATTCGAACTTATAAATTAGTAGAAGTACCTTGATTTAAAACAATTATGTGAGTAAGCAACTAGCTAGAGAACACACACAAACTTCATCACATATAATATATGCATGACGGGCATTAGTTTTGTTCTGGCGAACTTTTTTTTTTAAAAAAAAGAAAAGAACTACGACTATATATGTATGGCAAGAAACGATCCTGTATGGGCTCTTAAGGATATGGTGGGGCACATGAAATCCTTTGCTGAAGTCCTTATTGGTTGAAATTGCACAAGTCCCCCCAAAATAATGAACTTATTTATAATGATTACAAATTAAACCAAACATCAGGAGACAGTGCAAATTAATAAGCTATAACATTGCATGAAATATTTGTTTTTGGTGTCACCTGAGAAATATTTTTTTTAAAAAAAAGAGGTTTGCTTAACAATATCTTCTATAAAGTGGTAGAAATTAATGTTAGTCATTTTGATGAAAAATTTAACACTTTCATTTGCGACACTATGTGCCATCCTTTTTTAGCTATAAAAAGTAAAGTTACTGGAGAAAGGATAGAATATTCATATAAATATCCTTCCCGACCAGTAGCGGGTCTAGAAATATTTTAGGACCGAGCAAACTTCACTATAGTTAGTATTTACTACCAAACTTCTATTTCAAACTTTCTAATTACATGAAATTTTAATGGATTATCCGCCAATGGGCCCGGGTGGCTGCCCGGGGTCGTCGGGCGGTAGATCCGCACTATACAGATTAAAGAATTGAATGCACAATAGCAATAGAGATAAATAATAACCTAATACTTTAGTTAATTTACGAAGCAAAAAACACAAACAACTGGTCCCCAACAATCTTCTAGTTATTGCCGTAGCTTGACTCTACCATGGACTATATAGCTAGAATCCAGCATTGGCAACTGGCTGCAAACTAATATGGGAATTTGTCGATGTTAGGCCCGTAAAACCTTTTTAGTTACTTTTACATTCTTTGCAGAAATTGAGTCAAGTAAAAACACTTCCCTGTTCTTGCAAGCAAATGATTCCCAGCTACGTACTTTAATTATTTGCACATATAGGTACTCTGAAAACGAAAGTAGATGGCACTAAAGACAAATAAACTAAAACATATGGACAAACTAGACATTTTGCTTGAAGATGAAGTCATGTATGTATGGTTGGTTACATAAAAGTGTACCAGCAGTTGCTTATTATTAAGTGCTTTGCAGGTATACAACAATGTTGACAAATTAGATGTAATCAAAGCCTTCCAGAAAACAACAATATTTGCGCTGAGAAAGTTAGACCAAATGTTGAATTTAAAAGGAGAGATATCCTTCCATATGGATCAAAGTAGATTCAGCACTACTAACTACTCCTATATACATAAACAATATAATTGGATACCACAAGAACTTGGAATCATCGGTGTACCTACTGGCTAGACACAATAATTGTGGCTCATACGGTGCAACCGAAGAAATATCCTAATTAATTAACCTATACTAAAGATTTTCCTGGTTAGTATTGTTTGGTACACCAAGAGAAGTTGTTTTCCTCGTATAGCTAGGCAGGAGTTCAGGTGTTTTGGCTTGATTGATCGAGTTATAACTGTTATAAAAGCACAAGGGCAAAAAAAAAAAAACCCAGAAACAAATGAAGATCAATTTAGCTATATGTATGCCCACATGCACATGCATATGCATAAAGCTTAGCTAGCTCAAGAGGACTGGAAGGGGTCACTGGACAAGAGCTGAAGATCTGGGACCGTCCTTGCGTTGTCACATTGGGCAAGAGCAGAGGATTTTTTTCTTGTATCAAGAAATTATTAAGTCATGGTATATATAGGGTCCAAGTTGCCATGTCGATTCCTTGGGGGAAAAATGATTCTGTATCAATGTAAATAGTACACTGCATGTGTAGAAGTGGCTGGGACAGGAATGGCACTTGTGAAGGGACCACGAGAAAGGAAGAAAACAAAATAGAGACGAACTGAGATAAGGGAATTCGAAGAGAACTGGAGTACCCTTCACACATCTCTACATGCTACATATACATATATATATATATATATATATATATATATATATATATATATATATATATATATATGCATCTGTGGGCATACATGAAGGTTTAAGCATTTAAGCCTATACCCAGTTTAAGGGACTCTAGAGGGGACAATCTATCCGGCCCATCACACACAATTGTTCTCTCAAATGCAAGGCAAAAAGGTTATGAAAAATTCCGAATGACATAAAAATGTTATTCAGATAGCACAACCAAAAACTCTAGTTTAAAATTGATCGGCACATTGAGGGGAAAAACGAAAAAAAATGGAATGTGATTAGTAACGATACTGTGGATTAAATCTCGATGTGTGAGTTGATTTTAAACTTCAAATTTTCTGGAGGACGTAATATATGTATTTGCCATATGGATGTTGTCAATTATTTTAATAATTATTTTATAACTATCCATAGCTATTTGACAAATGAGGATCAATAGAGTCTGTCATGGTTATATATTTGGTTGCCTTCTTTACTCTTTGTTTCGGAATTTAAATTTTAACCCAGATAGGATTTATATATTCTCATGAAATGGGAATTATACTATATTACATCCATCGCAAAATAACTCCCATTTATTTTTCTACATGAATATGGATATAGCCTATGTCTAGCTTCATGTAAAAAAATAAACTTATTTTGGGACGGCGGGAGTTAATAGATTTCTCAAAAGTACTTCTAGTGTTATGTTGATGCATAATTGTAAAAAAAATGGTTAAAGGGATGTATGAAACAATGTTGGCTTCCATAGTGATAGGTAAAACAAACTATGGTGGTAGCTTATGTTCTTAGATTGATTGTGGTAAGGCGTATATATAACTTGTTTTTCACTTGATTTGTTTTTTTTAAAAAAAAATCATTCATGATTTAGTATGGATGCCAAATTTGAGACTTCCTCGATTTTATCTAGAATTTGGGTAATGAAATTTTGCTTTAGTTTAACAATGGGATTGGCTTGGAACAAGCTATGGACTATTGGTAACGAATACAGTAACCTGAGTTCTAGCAAGGCGACTAGGTATATATGTTTGCTTTGTGCTAGCTATGCTATGGCGTGGTACACTTATATTAATTGTGATATATGCTAGCCAATTATGAACTATTATTTGTGATATGGCTCCTATATATTTGCACTACTATTTTTGTTCTTGAATTGAGTGGCTTAGACATATGAGCATTATTATAATTATATTGTGTGAATTTTTCCTGACAAGATTTTTCCTACTCAATATTCTCAAGGGCCCGGTTTTACCCTTCACGGGATAAGAAACTGCATGCATGTAAGCATGCGCAGTAACAGCACTTATCTTTTTACTCAGCATGTTTTAGAGCTGACGCAGACCAGAAATGAAACCAAAAGCAAAAAAGGAACAAACACAAAATGCTAACAAACGCCAACAGTGCGGTATCTATAGACTAGTAGCTAGCTAGTAGATATGATATTCAGATCACATATATATGCATCTGCAGCCAAGAAAGAAAGAAAGAAAAAGAATCTGATAAATTCCACGCAATAGTACACAGCTAGTGCAACAGTTGCATGCATGCAGCAGCAAAGCAAGTGTACAAACCTGGTTCCTGGACAGCCCGGTCTGCCTCGCCAACAGGTGCTTATCTGCATCGCTCGGGTACCTGCATAACATTCAGACACACACAGCACGGGAAATCACGCGTGAGCACACAGAGAAAACCACTCGCCAAAAGGCTGCATTTCTTGCAGCTAATCTGCATGCACTATCTACTGATACTGCAGCAGCAGCATTCAGGAACAGCAGCTAGCTAGCTAGCTGCATTCTGCGCAGGAGCACTACTATTCACCAATCATAGACGCATTATAATTGCGCACAAAACACACTGATATGTATGCATGTGTTACTACCACTCTGCTAGCTATTCATGCATGCGTGGTGGCTGGCTTGCCCCCTGCATGCAAAGAATATGATGCAACAGCAACAACGAGAAGCAAAACGGATTCCTAGATATATTCCCCTCGGCTGCCATCTTGATCCTCTCGCAGATCACAGCAATGCGCAAAGTGAGCATCAGATCTGGGTTTTACAGGCAGGCAGGATGAATGAGGGGAGCTGAAAGCCTGAAAAAATATGCTGTAAAAAAGCTCAGAAACTAACCTAGATCATGCTGCTGCATGCGTGGCACGGCAAGGCATTGCAGAAAGGCTCTCCTAGGCACGCAGAATATTTTGCAGATATGCAGGCTGTGCAGTGCAGAGAGAGCCATGTAGTACGGTGTAGGGGCATGTAGCTGAGCTAAGCTTTTGTTTGCATGGGCACTCTCTAAAGCTTGGCACAAAGGAGATGGAGGAAGAATTCCTGGTGTACTGTGCTCGCTGCAGCAGCTGCTGCTGCTGCTACGTGCATACGTACACTAACCGCAGTAAAACTAAAAAAGGTAAATTTCTGCAATGATGGGAAAGTAAAATCTGGGAGAGGACGGAAGCAAAAGGGAGGGGATGAGAGGAATATACACACAGGCGCACATGTACAGTCCCCGGCATGCTGCCCCTGATTTATAGCGTAGATCTCGAAAAAATTACTGCTTTTGCTAAAGCGTAGCAGCAGCAGCAGTCAGCAGCTAACCAGAAAGAGAGGCGAGAGAGAGAGAGAAGCAGCAAAAGCAAAGCAGAAGCTGCCCGTGATGAGTGCAGTGTGGTACTACTACTCCCCCTCCCCTACTCGCTCCTACCATGCCGCCAACGTACGGCATGCACCACCATGCACAGCGCAATGCAGCTCAACATCGCCACCAAATGATCATATCCTAACATGCAACTGCCGGCAACAACAGCTGCCTTAGCTCCATGCATGCATGGCCATATGGGATTCTAGCTAGCTAGCTGCGTGTCTAACGGCCCTGGCCCGAAGATGTAAATCCTTTCAATTATTAAAAAGAAAATAGAGATAAAATTCTGATCACGTATAGTATGCTTGGAAGAATTTGGCTACAAACCTAACAGCAGAGGATGAAAAAAAAATATACTAAAATTCCGTCTATCTATATGTAAGGAGAGGGGGAAGGGACATACGGGTTGAGACCGGAGATATATGTAAGGAGAGGGAGGAGGGACATACGGTTGGAGGAAGTGTTCAATGCATGCATGGCTATATGGGATTATTCTAGCTGTACGTGCAACACTAGAAGCCAGAGATGTAAACCATTCCTGTTATTAAAAACGAAATACTTCCTCCATCCCATAAAAAAATCAATCTAGTACTGGATGTGACATATCCTAGTACTACGAATCTGGATATACCTCTATCCAGATTCATTGTACTAGAGTATGTCACATCCAGTTCTAGAATCGTTTTTTTGAAACGGAGGAAGTAGGAGATACCATAATTCCGCCTGCCTGACGACAGAGACCGAAGATGTATGTATGTAAAGGAGGGAGGGGAAGAAGAATGGGACATACGGGTGGAGGAAGTGTTCGAAGAGCCAGGAGCGGAGGATGTTGACGGAGCGCTCGGGGAGGCCGCGCTGGGGGCGCCACGCCTCCTGCTCCATGATCCCCATGTGGTGGAAGGCGCGCTGCTGCCGGAGGCTCTGGTCGATGGCCCGCAGCCGCGGCGTCTCCCCCTTGGTCAGCCCCGACCCCGTGCCGGCGTCCTTCTCCCCCAGCGCCTCGCACGTCCCCCTCAGCTGCGCCGCGATCGCGTCCTTGAGGCACCGGAAGTGCCTCGACATGGCCTTCTGCGCCAGCGCCGTGTACGGCGTCGCCGCCCCGAACCCCATCACCGAGTCGAAGAAGTTCACCACCATCTGCATCTGGTCGCAGTAGTGGTTGTACCTCCTGTCCACCTGCATCGATCCACATCCATCCATCATCACCACACCATCCCAACCATATCAATCATGCATTTTTTTTTGTTCATCCATATGGAGTAATCATCAATCAATCAATCGTGTACCTATACACCTCGACCTAGCTAACTGTAAAAACCGAATCAAAGTTGAAAAAAAAAAATCAAAGACAACCACCGAATCAAATAAAATCAAACCCAGGTAATGAGAAATAATTACTCGAGGTATATAGTATAGTAGCTTGGAGGATCGATCGACACAAGGAGACACAAAGAAACAAAAATTGGGGCGCAGAAGTTAAGACAGCATATGTCGCTGGCACAATAATTATGAAGGAAAATGGGTGCAAGCTAGCTAAGCTAAACTACGAACAAACGAACGCCCCAACGACGGATGAGGCCCACCGCCGTTTTGGAGAATAGCTATAGCCATGCATTTTTGCACACCCACGCGGCTAACACTCGCATGTGCCGCTTTGTTCCTGTGCTCTTGCTTGCTACTACCAGCTAGCTCAACCAAGCTAGTAGTTGCGATCGATTGATCGATCGCCATTGACATGTGACACTGCTAGCTGCTTGCTCACTCTCACTCTGATCTTCTCTTTTCGATAATGGAAAATCAATCCAGTACGTACTCCCAGTAGTTGTTCCTCACTGTGCATGAACTCCAATTGCAAGTTTGAAATAGACTGATATGGATTAATTGAATGCCTCCTTTGCACCAACCCAATTGACGACACACACCAGAAAATCATAATTAAGCTATAGCTTAGCTATCTCACGCATGCAAGTAGCTTAGTATCTTACTCCCATATAAAAGACTTTTTCACCTGGTAGTGACGCAACACGTATCACACCTACATATGCAGATCATGGGGTCTCTCAATATGATATTAGCAGCAGCAGCAGCTAAGGGGCGAAAGGGGAGCCGTACTTCTTTCCCCTTGTGGAGGCCCTAGCCGATATGGAAAGAGAAATGCGGCTTAAACTAATCGCCATTGGCAAACCATGGTGAAAACTTAATTTATGGTGTCAATCAAGACGCACGCGGTGCCAACAACCGCCACAAAAAAGAAACCGAAAATTCTGTCGCGGGCTACGAGCTTGGGGATCGATGATGTTGCTATGATTGGGGGATTAGTAGAGAGATGGACTTGAGAAGAACTAGTCTTATCTCTTGGGACTCGCGCCGTGACGACAACCCAAAAAAGGTTGCCAGTGACATCGCCGCCGCCGCCATTGGAGTGGTAGCTCTACGTCGTCGTCGTCGACGTCGGCGGATGCATGGCGGCGATGTGTCGGTGGAGGAGAATATATGGAGAAAGCCATGCATGCAGGAGGGGAAGAGAGATGGATACGTGCCTCGTCGAGCATGGAGATGAGCTTGGCCTTCTTGCGCTGGTGCTCGAAGCGGTCGGCGGGGGAGAGTTGAGGGGGTTCTTTGGACGCCGACGAGGGGGACTGGGCGGCGCCGGAGCTGGAGGCGGCGGCCTTGCTGGAGTTAGGGTTATTGGGGGCGGAGCCGCGGCCGCCGCCGCCCTTGATCTGGCCGCGGCCGACGCTGCAGAACTCCTCGAGGAGCTCCTGCGCCGCGCGGGTGTACTTGGAGTTGCGGAGGACGCCGGCGACGCCCGCCGGGCCGCCGTACCCGCCGCCGTGCAGCTGCTGCCCCAGCACGCCGACCTGCCCGTGCAATGCCATCGGGAGCTGCTGCTGCACCGACGCCGCCGCCGCCGCCGCCTGCTGCTGCTGCTGTTGCCGGTTGAAGTAGAGCACGCCGTCGCGGACGCGCAGCTCCTCCGCCTGCTTCGCCATCTCCAGCTGCTGCAGCGACGGCGACAGCGAGAGGGAGAGCCCCTGGCCTTCCACCACGCCGGCCGCCGCGCCGCCGCCGAACGCTGCTGCACCGGCGCCGCCGAACGCCTGGAACGCTTCGTGGTGCTGGTGGATTGCCGACTGCGCGTCCGACGGCGGCGGCGACGTCGACGACCGTGACTGCTGCTGCTGCTGCTGCTGCGGGTTCATCAGGAACAGGTGCATCGCCGCGGCCGGGTCAGCGGCGAGGCCCGCCATGCCGCTCGCTTGCTGCTTCGGCGACGACGTCTCACCTAACGAACCCAAGCTGGCCCCACCGAGCACCAACCCAGTCCGGCCGGCCGCGCCGCCGCCGCCGAACCAACCGCCTTCGCCGCCGGCCAAACCCGCCGCCTGCCGGAACCCGAACCGGTAGTTGGCGTTCATCTGGCTGGCGAGCAGCTCGGTGGCGGAGGGGCCCGTCGGCGGCTGCGACGGGAAGTTGAACATCTCGGAGAGCATGTTCGACGCCCCGGCCGCCGCCGCCTCCGCGTGGTCGTACATGGCGCCGGGCTCCGCGCCATGCTCGTCGCCCTCGATGGGGAGCAACCCGTGCCCCGCCGCCGCCGCCGCCGGGTCGAAGCCTTGCACCCTCAGCTTGTCGCGGCGGCTCTGCTGCGCCACGTGCTGCTGCTGCTGCTGCTCGTGCTGCTGGTGGTCTTGGCCGGAGCCGGGGCGGCCGTCGAAGCCATCGGAGGAGAAGCCGAAGACGGCGCCGCTGCTGGGCTGGTGGAAACCCTGGGAGTGGGACATAGAAGAAGAACTCGCCGTGGCCGGCGGCCGGACGACGATCGCCGCCGGGGAGCTCTTGCTGCTGGTGGGTTGGCTTATGACGAACGTGGTGGTCTGCCCTGGCTGACACGGTGGCGCCGCTATTCCCATGCCGGCGGCGCCACTGTCACCATCGTCGGCGGTGCTCCTCCGGCCAACAACAACCAACCCCTCTTCTTCTTCCTCCTCCGCAGCTACCTGAGCTCATCATCACCAACCAAAAAAACAAACAAGCAACTCCCCTTTTTTAAAAAAAAACTCGATCGAATTGCACTAAAAAAGATCCAAACTCATCAACAAAATTAACACAACTCGAGATCGAATTAAACCGAGAGCCGAATCGCTATAGCTTTTGGCTGGGTCGACGCGTAGGCTTACCTAAGATGAGGAGTACATCGTTATCTCGGAGACGGGGTGAAAGGCTTGCTGCCTCCGAGACCTCCTCCTCTCCATGTCTGTCTCTCTCTCTCAAAAATCTCTTTCTCTCTCTCTGTCTCTCCCTGCCTGAGCTGTGACTAACTCTATATTTTTTTTCTCCTCCTCCTCCTCCTCCACCTAGTAGCTGCTGGTGATGGTGCTTAGCTTCCCTTGTCTGGTCGGGCACAGAAGCAGCCTTGTACAATCGCCTTCTGAAAGTGAAGAGCCACGCAAAGGCCAGGGCAAGGACGCTAATATACTACACCACCAGTACTACTACTACTACCACCACCACTGCTGCAGCTGCAGCTGAAGCTGATTGCATAAAAAAAAATCCCAGTTTTTTTTCTCCTGCTCTCTGCTGATCCCTCCTGCTGCTGATATTGGAATTGGACAGAGCTAGCTAAGGGGAGCCCAAACCCAACAAAGCTTTGCAGCAAAAGGTCGCTGTTGCTCTCTCTCTCTCTATCTTTCTCTCCTTCTTTGGTATCACCTATAGCTTCTTCTCATCTCTCTTTTTATTCTTTCGCGAGTACGTTTAATAATCGGCGTCGTTGTTGTGTTATGGTTAAGTTATTATTGCTGGTGCTGGTGATGTCGTACCCTTGTTTTTATTTGTCTCCCCTTCTCTCTCCTCTCCTCTTGCTTTCTTCCCTCTCCCTTCCCTTTCCTCCTTTTTTTTTTTTTTTGTCTTCCATACCCTCATTTCTAGCTAACATGATCAGTACTACTGTAGTCCTTGCTACTACTACTACTATACTAGTGATTGATAGATCAGCCATTCATATGTTTCACTTCACTAGCTATAGAGACCTTAGCAGCATCTAGCTTGTGTGTGTGTATGCGCGCGCATGTGCACATGCGACGTGGTAGTAGTACATGACTAGGTAGGTGTACATGGATATATACCTGAGTTAGCTATAGCTTGTGTGTACGTTGTTATCCAGCAGAAAGCAGCAGAGAAACTTGATGAAATTCAGGTTTTGGAATTGGAAAGAGAAAAAAGGGGTAGGTTAATATATATAGCGAGGTGATACCGATCGACGACGATCGATGGTGAAAACCGAAAAGAAAGCGAGGAGGAGAGGAAGAAGAGGAGAGGTGTCCCTCTCTGTGTCTTTCTAGCTTTTCCTTTTCGTTTCAAATTGACCAGCACTTGAAAGAAGGGGGGATCGAATTGACCCCAGCAAATGTAAACTTTTTCATGTGTGTTTGATAGCTCTAACGGGCGCCTTATGTTGCATCTCTGCTTTATGATGAAAAAAAAAAGAACTTAACACACATCGATCGAGCAAGAAATATCTAATCTAGCTAAGGCTTAATCAGTGGCCTGAAACTCTCTCCTTTTTTCCCCCTATTTAATGAACCAGAAAACGAAATCACCTCCTGCTCGATGGCATGATTTGCTGATCGATCCCAACCACGAAGGGTAAACGTAACGTAATGCAATGTAAACCTAGGCTAAATTAAACTTGCTATAGCTAAGCTAGCTATTCAGGCCAAATTAATCCATCCATCAATCTACCTCTCTCCAACAACAGCAAGAGCTAGTACCAACACTAATTAATTCAACCCCCCCCCCCCCCCCACAAAAAAAAAAGAACACTTCCCATTGCTTACCTCCTCATCGTGTTGACTTGAACCTAAGCTGGTAGTTACACTAGTATTGTTTAATCGATTAATAAGTAATTAAATTAAGAGGCAGTTGAGACATAGTAGAGAGCTCTTGCAGCTTAATCACACATAAGAAACTAAGCTAAGCTAAGCCAAGGAGTACTAGACTGTACTGCCCTCGATCAAGTACGTGTACCTAGCTGCACGCGCGCACAGCGCAAAAAGCACAGAGAAGCCAAGGTAATTTAATTAATTAATCCCAGGTCGCATCTTTGACTTTTCCAGAATGGCGATGGCCGATCCAGGGGCAAACCGGTCATTTCACCCCCAGCTTAAAAGGAAAAAACAGATAAGGAGAAAACGGCGGGGGCTCTCCTGCGCCGTCGGATCCGCATCGTGCGGCGGGGGCGGGTGGTCCAGCCACGCGATAGCGGGGCTTGTCGGCCGCTGGGCTGGGTTCCATCCGTCCGTCCATCCCATCCATCCATCCGTCCGTCCGTCCGTCCACCCGCTCCATCGCAGCCGTCCGTTGGATCGGGGCAGTGCCGTCCCGATCAATAATTGGGCCGTTGTGATTTGGACCCGGCACCAAACTCGATCCTAGTCTCCCCCTGTCACGGTGGGGCCCACAGGGTGGTGAAGCTGTCATGTGGGGCATGGGGCAGGTGGGGCCCACATGTCGGTAGCGGTTGCTAGGCCGGGTCGGGGTTAATATGATGGGGGCAGGGAGGAGGGGAGGATTTGTGGACGAGGCGCCTCCAAATTGTCACATTAAAGAGTAACCCCTCCAAATGCGCTTTTTGCTTATTCCTCTTTTTTTTTTCTCCATAGCCTCCTCTGATCTCTCGCTTCGCATGCACACGGGGACCTCCTGTTCCTTTCTTTCTTTCTTTCTTTCTTTCTTTCTTTCATTCTCTCTTATCTTTCTTTCGTTTTATTTTCCCCCTCTGCTTTCGTTTGCTTCTTCCTTTTCTCTCCTGGGATTAGACTTTTTTTTTCCTTTCTCCATTTCTTCTTTCTCTTTTTTTTTGGGACAATTTTGGTTTTTCCCCCACTTTGATCTCTAATATTGATTTTGCCCCTACTTTTTAAAGTTTTCATTTTTGCCCTCACTTTTTTTTAACCAAAAGAGACGTTTACCCCTGGTTTGGATGAAAGTTAGTGGGATCATGTTTATGGCAGGATATAAAGATTTTTTTGAATTAGTGATTTACTTTTTTACCCCTGTGAAAGAGTTAACCCTTCCAGGCTATCTCTCCTCTCTTGCTGCGCAGTCAAACATTCCAGATTATGTTGTCATGCTTTTGTGATACTTGTGAGGTACAATATGACTTCATATGGTTGTGTAAAATGTTGTTGAAATTTTATCAAAATTTTTGTTCAATTTATGTCAAAATTCCATTAAATTCAAATTTTGTCCAAATTGTAATGTCAAAATCTGTCATTTAATTTTAAACATATTCACAAAAATAAATTTCCAAAGCCATTGCATAATGGGGGCAAAAACACAATCAATGATTAGTTATAGGAGAGGGTATAAATGTCCTATTTAACATCGCTCCATCCAAAACAGGGCAAAAGTATCTTTCGGTTCAAGAAAGTGGGGATAAAAACGAAAATCCTAAAAAGTAGGGGCAAAATCAATATTAGAGATCAAAATGGGGGTAAAAACTAAATTGTCCCCCTTTTTTTTTGTTACATTGGATTATACTCCCTTTGTCACAAATATAACAAATTAAAATTAGTTGGGACATATTACTGTCAATTTAGATGGTATTATGTCCAGATTCGTAGTATGTTGCTATTATATTTTAGGACGGAGGTAGAAATTTTTTTTATCTTTGTTTTTTTTTCAATTACATGAAACGCGCGCGCGCACGCGCACAACACCACGTAAACTCACACGGCTTTCTCCACACGCGAGTATGTGCGCCATAATAATAAATATCATGTGAATATCAAGATTTAAATTCTACTAAGTTAAAGTGTGTACTCACATTCACCACCGCACCATCAATACTTTTTTTTTCTTTCTTTGATGACGTTAAGATGGCTGATTAGTGTGATTGGTTAATTAATTAATGTCTGTTAGCGTTTTTAACCTGTTCTTTTTAGTCAAGTCAGAGGCTAGAGTACGTTGGTTAATTAACGATTCCTGAAGAAGATTATTGGAGGGGATTTTCTTTTTTCTTTTTTTTTTGCGGGGTTCTTTTTTCTTTTTTGATGGAGAGGAGGGAGTATTAATTGGGCTGAAAATGACAAGGCCACAATTGGCACGCGAGGAAGCAGTACACGTTTTAATACCAACATAAATTGGTGCACCTGTCAGAGATGGCGACTAATATACCACGATGATGCATCCATCGATCGATCGATCGATCAGCAGTGGTGTCTGCAAGTGCAAGGACAGCACCAAGTTTCAGGGGGATCGATCGATAGGTCACACATATCTAATCGAAACCTGAATATGTGTGATCGATGCTAAGCTGTACAGATTGTACCTTGGCTCGTGCATGCAGTGTGCACATTGACATACTGTATTAGCATAACGACTTTTGTTCAAGGGCTGACCATTTATTTGCGTCGATCTATAATTGGCAGGAACAAACGCCGTATTATGTCAAGTAGATAGTAGTGTGTCCTGTCAGTTTTTGACATAATATGTATGACATTTTGAGGATTCAGAAAAAGAGACAGGGGAAATTGACCCAGCTAGAACAGTAGACTTGGTATGGCGTCCGGCCCCATAGAAGAACCTACAAAAACCATCAATATTGTATTGTTATTGTTATTATTTTCCCTATGAAGTTATGGCTGTCATTATATGGAAATGGTGAGAAGTATTTCGATTCATACCATTTTGATACAGGGTCCTTTTTTTAAAAAAAAAAACATCTTATCTTGAGCTACTATAGCTTTCAAACCAAAATGACATCTCCATACATAAGTATTTCTTAAAAATTGTACTACTAAATAAGAGTGTTGTTACATACATCTAAAACTGATGTGGATGTAGTATTGTCCACTTATATGAAAAATATCATTGGGGTGTGGTTGGCAGTGAACTCTCATGTGTTTGGCTAACCATAAGCCTAGCAGTTATTGGGCATTAAAAATACAATACTAATCATGAACCGAAGGTAACTCAACTGGAATTATAAGTTCTTTTTACAAACATGTCCAGCCGGTTCAAGTGTTATACCTAACACATATGCTGTATTTACGGCTAATTATTTTTCAATGGTAGACGACGTATCTTTTAACAACAGTATGTTTACGGTGACTTCGTAAATCTCAAGATACACCAATCTAGTTTCTTGGATGTGCTCATAGAGTGTTTGCATCTACATGTTTATATGCACGTCTATGCTTCTATCGTGTTAAAAAAGATTCCGAAGTAGCTCTTCTTATGATGGAAACTTGTTCTTTAGAACACAGACAAACACAACCCCCAAAATTCATTAAAATTTCTTTTTTAAGCTAGGTATAAAACTAGTACTAAACAATATTATAGAAGTATCTTTGATTCAGATCTAAACATACAATTTTCATGTATCATCATGATTCTCAAATTTTCAAAATACTAATTTAATTACTGTCTAAAATAACATGCTTTCTGTTGGAATATAAAGTGAATTGCCCATATTTCCTCATCAGCTTATGCCTTTGGGTTGAATTGGTCGGTGCATGCAACTATATATGGTATCAGAGCTAGAGTTCTTGAGTTCGAATCCTGGCTGGCGTGCAATTAAATAAAAATTACAGCACACTTCTATTTCAGGTTAAAGGCTTGAGGGGACCTCGCGTAAGGGAGAGTGTTGGAATATAAAGCTTAAGTTTTTGGGTTAAACTAGTCGGTGCACGCAACTAATGAAACTTAGCTATACCAAACTAATAGCATAGTATCTGGATGGTGTTCGGCGCTGAAACATTATGATGCTGATCATAC